CTCTCCTCAACTCATTGACGACCACTTCCGTCCAGGTTGAGAAGCGTTCCATGGATTGGGCCCTCTCTGCCGCCAGAATGGCCAAGCGTGGCATTTCTTCCGTTCCCTCCATCATCGCCAAGAGAGCCAACATTCAGCTTTCTTCCGGCAGCTACATCGTCTTCGGTATCCAGAGAGTTGCCTTCCGCGCCAAGATTGAATCGACTAACCTCTTCATGACTGGTTTGTCTTTCTTCTGCGTTTTCGTCATCTTCACCGTTCTTGGCGTCGCCGCCTTCAAGGGATTCTGTGAGTTGGCTGTCCGACAGAAGTGGATGAAGAGCGAGAAGTTCCTCGAGTTCCGCAACGGCTGGTTCACTGTCCTGAAGGGAATCCTCTTCCGTATGACGTTGATTGGTTTCCCCCAAATGACGATTCTCTGCCTCTGGGAGTTCACCCAGGCCGACTCCGCGGCTGAGGTTGTTCTCGCTGTCTTCTTCCTCTTCGGCATGGCCCTGACCCTCGGATGGGCTTCCTTCAAGGTCATCAGAATCGCGCGTCGCTCCGTGGCTATGCATCGCAACCCGGCCTACATCCTCTTCTCTGACCCGCAGGCCCTCAACAAGTGGGGTTTCCTCTACGTTCAGTTCCGCGCTTCGGCATACTACTTCATCGTCCCTACGCTCGGGTACACTGTTGTTAAGGGAATGTTCGTCGCCTTCGCCCAGCGTAACGGAACCATTCAGGCCATTGCCTTCGTCATCATTGAGGCTGCTGCGCTCATCGCTGCCAGTGTTTTGCGCCCTTGGATGGATAAGAGCACCAACTCGTTCAACATTGCCATTTGCGTCATGAACTTCCTCAACGCCGTTTTCTTGCTCATCTTCTCAGACGTTTTTGGTGCCCCGGCTCTGGTAAACGGTATCGTTGGTGTGGTTCTGTTCATCGCCAACGCGGCCTTCGCTCTGATCCTTCTGCTGCTTGTTATTGTCAGCAGCACATTGATCTACTTCCGCAAGAACCCTGATGCTCGCTACCAGTTCATGGCCGATGACCGAGCATCCTTCATGAAGTCCCAGACGCAGCTCAACACTACTACTGAGTTGGACGCTCTGGCTGCGACTGCCCGAGGTGACAAGGCCCATTACAACAAGGGACTCGACCTCGATGACGACAATGATTCCATCTCTTCTGAGTCTATGCGTCGCCGGGCGGATCCCACTGGTGTTGCTCTGCCGCCATCTACTGCCCAGTCAGCTGCGCCCTCTCAGCACTCTCTTCAGCGTCCTGGAGGTCAACAACACGGCCAGGCGCCGCACTCACCAGTGGACCCTTCGATGCCCCTCTTCCCGGCAGACAACCGCAATCCCTATGGACAGGGGCCAACTCGGACCCCAAGCCCGTACAACGGCTCTGCATCAACACTCGGTGCCAACAATCACAACCAGTACCGCAACCAGAACAATGCCAGTCCTGCGCAGTACCGTTCCCAAAACAACGCCAGGTAAGTTATCAAAGGAACTAGAGCCACTTGCCATTACAGCAGCTAACGAGCACACAGCCCTTGGCAGCGTGGTGCCGGATATGAGCACTAGATATGACTTCACATGATGTTTGCCCGCTTTGATGGGAGATACCACAGTCTTGGGGACAATGCGCCAGGCAATCTTGCCGGTACTTTTGTATGTGTGTTGGCATTCTGGTCCACCCAAGCATTTTGGGCACATTTTCTCGGATACACGAAAACACGAGGGGATTTGACAGAAACCCAAGACCCAACCAGCTCAGTAATGACGTGCCAGGTGTGGGAAGGAGACTTGAGCTCTCACCTCGGGTTATGACGCAATGCATCACAGGATAGACGGAATGGTATCTTCCTTTTTTCTTCTTCTCTCATCTCTATGTTCCACACACTTGTGTCTGGCATTGAAGACGGCGTCCCGAGATCACGGCGTTGATTATTGTTTTTACGGGGTCGTCGGGCACGCTAATCAGGAGGATTGCTGCGCCGTACTGGGTTTTCTTGACTTTGTAAATAAGTTGCGGCTGGCGGGGAAAAGGGTACCTCGTCAGCGAGGACAGCAGCAGTGGAATTGGGCAGGCTAGGAATTGGGATAGGGGTTCACAAAAAAGGCCAGCTCCAAGGGCAAGAGGAAAGCAACTTCTTCCGTGCCGAAGTCACATTCGGCTTGAAAGGTTTTGCTTCTCTCAGGGATATGATGAACCCCATGATAAGGAAAAACAGACAAAAAACCCCTCACAAAATAGCTAATGAATCCCTTTGTTACACGATGTTCTCGGAGACAGGCAATGTCTCGGCCGATTTGGGGCGTATTCTTCTTGACGAAAACTTTACTTACGGACGAGCAGGCCTTGATATCTAGGGGGTGGGAGGGGAAGAACCACGGTTGGCCGACGGCGAGAAACCCTCAAGTGACCACCGTCGACATCTTTGTTTGAGTGTCTTGTCCTCTCCCCCTCGGCTGTTGTGTCACGGTAGATCAAGAGACGGACAGAACTCCGGCGATCAAAGTGCTCTCTTTTTCTCTTGTTCTCCCGATTTAAAGTTGGCCAAACGGGCAAAGGGGGGGGGGGAGATTCGGCCGTTGCGGTGGGTGGTTCGGCCGGCTGATCTGCCGCGAGATGGACAGCTAGACACGCAAAGTTTCGGACGTTAGTTGGATGCTCACCTGTTCTTGTCTAACCCGTCAAAGAACGAGATGGGTGGGTGTGAGGGGTGGAGGGGAGACAACACAGGAGAGAGCCTTCTGGTCCGGAAGACGAGCCGGGGCTTTCTTGATTTGATAAAGTATCGAATGGGAAGGGGAAATGTTTCCCGCGGCAAGTAAGGTTTGACCGACGGCCATTCTGGACCCTCTTGTAGACGGAGCAGGATAAATGGACGGGCGGGACCTGAACGATACGTCCGTACCGGGGGAGGCCGGAGGAGAAGGAGGAAGATCCAGTCAACCATCCCCCGGGCTCGGAGGGGGAAAGCGTGGGAAGGTGAGGGAGGTGAGAGTGGGCTCGGTGAAGGTGGTGTGGATTAGGTGTGGTGGAGAAATAGAGAGGCCGACACGGAGGAAAGCAACAAGTATGAGGAACAAGATTCAGGACGGGGGACGCTGTAGAGGGGATGGGAGGATTGCAGGCTCAAGAAGAGGAAAAGGCAAAGCAAAAGGTGGGGCAAAGTCACGGAGGTTGCCTATCATTCATTGTGAGTGCAGTGAGACAGGCCTCTCCGTCCCAGACTAGCACAAATCCGGAGACCAAGAGACGACTGCCTTTCCTTTGTCTCTATAACGGTCATCGATTCGTGATGGGCGAGGCAGCTGTCGTCGATCGGTCAGCCCGCCAGGCGGGACCTTGACGAGCTGGAAGAGGGCAGACGAGAGTGGGATCATGGGAACACAAACGCGCAATCCAACGGATGATGGATGGGACGTTGGGATGGAGCGGAAGACCGGTTTTCGCAAAGTTTGTGTAACGTCGGAAGGATTTCGAGGTGACGATGTCCAGGTTTGACCGTCGATAGGGTCGGTAGCACAAGGCCAAGATGAGCCGACCAACCGACCCCTTCGATGCATCTTGGCATCGCGACGTTGAGAAAGAAACAGCTCTCTTGGGCCCGTATCACGCCTCTTGGCCATCGTGAGCCGCGAAAGAGGACAAAAAGGGTGGACGGGATTCAGTCGAGCTATCTCCAATGTGGAAACGGCAAGCGAGGATGGGAGTAGTCTGCCTGGGAGGAGTGCGTAGATGGGAAGAAGCCATGTCCAGGTAGGTCTAGGGTGGTGGACAGAGCTCCTTTTTGCCCGTCAAAGGGCGTTGAGGAGTCGAAAGCCTCCAAGCTTGTTTACTGGAGACGAGGGCGTATGGCATCTCCAGTCGGAAGCGAAGGGTAGAGCGGCCGACTATGGGAAGCAACATCGTGACATGTTGCGGCTGCTCGAGCTCCGCACACTCTCGGAAACAACAGGTCCGGCTGACCAAGGTCAGGCTTGTGGCGCGGTGGTTTACCACGGCCTCGACCTGTGGAGGTCGTCGTGAGGCTTCACATGCAGGGCAGTGAGGGCTAAGGCAGGTGGGCCAGAAGCCGGAGAGCGGCACATGCAGGTGCGGTACACCTGCGTTGGCGCTTTCTGGGGATGGGCTTTTCGCTTCCGCTGGACTGCAGTTGGGGTGACAGTTGTGCCTGGCAACGTGTGGCGCGTCTCGGTAGTTCCAAGAGTGACGGCAAGGTTGGTCGGCGGCGCAGTCTACTGCTTGATGTCACGGCCTCGAGGCGTCGTCAGGTCCAGATTTGGTTGTCCTTCTACAAGCTGCTTCATCCTAGACTTGAAGACGAGGATGATGGTCGCCTGTCACCTGAACAGGGCTTCAACTCGATCTAGAGTCGGGCCCTTCTGGATGTGCAGTGAAGTGGCTGAAGAAATTGCGAGGATTCCACTGAAGGCGTTAAGGCTTCAACACGAGGGCTTCGGGGTATCTGGCCGGCTTTCCTGTGGCTCCAGGTATTTGGAAGGGCTGTTCCCCTGGCGGCCGCTTGATTAGTACGATCACCAGTCTGTTGGGTTGTTCATCAACGTCCCATGAGGTCTGGAGTCTGTTCACCAGGCGCGACGTGGGGGCCCTCGGACTTCTCGTCGTCGTCATTGGTTAGATGCGATGTCGTTCGACCACGGGACTGAGATAGAACAAGGCGGATAGACGCGCGAGCTAGCTATAGCAGGCGCGTTGTACGCCCCAAAGCCCTGGGAACTCTTGATGGCTGACCGAGATGTGTGGATATCACGGACAATCTGGTCGGAGGGTAACGGTCTTCTGGGATTCCGGCTACGCCGCGCCTATTCTCTTGGAGATGCCATACTCGCTTGAGCAACATGAGGCTTGAGTGATTAGCCCGAAGGATGGAGAGAAGAATAAACTGTGGCTCGTGTGAGATGGCGGCCGCCACAGTCGGGCTGAAAGTGAAGAAAGGGAATAGTGCACGGAGTAACCTATAGGCTAACCTCTTCGTCATGTCGTCGGTCTGCGAGGCGGCAGCTGTCATGACGGCGGGGGCTGAGGCGGACACGGGAGAACTGCCAAACATAGCAAGGCTGCCATGGGCCAAAGTAGTAGGTATCGAGCTGGCGGCTGGCCCCAGATTTTGCCTGCCCAGAATATCAGAACCTAGTCAAAAAGATGTAAGTGAGCAGCGGTCCTATGGGGCCCGGGGTAAGACATTCAGCTGGACTGACCGAGAAACGGCGACCGAGAAAGTCTGCTTTCGCCCGGATTTGGACGTGACAGAAAGGTCCCCATAGAATTTTTTGAAGTTGGCTACGGAGAAATCCATGAGCTAGTCAGGTAGACAACGACAGAGATGTCTCCGGAGGAATTACTATTGGCCAAATAACGAGAGAAAGATGCCGCTTGACCAAATCAAGGCCGTCGGTAAGACGCCTTTTCTCTTCCCGTGTGTAGAAAATCTGCTTCGAACACGATACAGTGGCTGATGGACGGTTGAGAGACCATGATGTTTGTTGAATGCTGATCATGTTTGACCAACTGCGAGAAGTCGAGAGCATCGGTATGAACAGCACGAATAACGGTGATCGTTTCGGATCTTGAAGCTTACCGAAAAAATAGAGGGTCTTGAAGCGGGGAATGATGTTCGTCTCTTCCTACCTTACCTCATAGAATGCCATTTTTGACATGAATGACGATATCATGGGCGTATATTGCCTACGAAGCGACAAGATGTCACGTATGCGCAGGTCTTTGCCCGAATTGAACCAAGGCTTCAAGACATCATCAACAGAACGTGGCCCGCCATACAGGGTCAGAGGCTTCTGTGTTGCGCGCCTCCTTTGATGCGGAATATCAAATTCTGCCAGCCCCATGTCTCGCGCCCTTACTCAGTCGTCTGGGCAGAGGCGCATTCTCTTGACAAGTGTCGTGATGCTCTGGACTGCGCGGATAGAGATGCGCGCCTCCTAGGCAAGGTTCTCGATCTCTTGGATGAAGCGAGTGAGACAAGGCTCGTAATGGCAAAGAAGTCGAGATCTTGTGCTTGTTGTGGCGGTTGGGAGAGGTATCAAGGGAACGGAGCTCGTCCCGGTGCTGCTTCCGGTCGAAGATGGAGCCCATTGCTGGGCGGCTGCGCCTGGGCAGATGCGCTGGTGGTCCTGCGTCGCGGCTACGCAAGGCCAGACCCATGCAGATACGCTGACTATCGATAACATCGTACGAAGATGAGAGATTTTGTTTCGCTTGCGATGTAGTGAGTACCTGCTTTCAGTCGGGCAACGGACGTTGCGAAAGGGGTCCAGGGGAATCTGCAGGGTCGAGACGCAGCGCGGCTGCGGCGTACGGCCGTGGAATGCAAAGATGCAATAACGTTTCCGGAAGGGGTAGACGGTGGGGGATCTGGACGGAAAGAGACTTTCCCGATTCAAGCAACTTCTGCGAATGTGTGATCGAGCAAGCGAGATCGTGATTGTGAGAGAGGAGCGGAATAGAGAGGCTCAAAGCCCAGGCGGGTGGACTTTGCACTGAGACATTGATACGCGAGACTGCGCCCTGTTGCCGTCATGCTCCTGGCACCTTTCGAGTTCGGGTTTGGCGCCGCAGACAGACAGCTGTAGACAGTAGTATGCATGGTGAGCTGCGAGATTCTGCAACGGGGATCTTGCACTAGTCTCCAAGAGTCGGGTCCGGAGGCGCATGGGCAGGCAAACCGTCACACTGTCATGTCAGCTTGTGGCTGTCTCTTGATTTTTTCTTGGGCGAGGAGAAGTGAGGCGGCATGGAGACGCCGTTCCCTCTTGATCGTCCGTTGGAGGAGGGGGTGGATTTCACCGAGATCCCAACTTCAAATCCCGACGGCCTGCCAGGATAGCAGAGGAGGCGTCTCCGAGTGTCAGTGTGGGTGGATGATAGAGGAGACCGAGGAGTGCGAGAGGTAAGGCTTAGCGGAGAATCCGGGGAGCGTCTGGCTGAGGTGGATGCGAAAGCCAAGTCATGATGGGATAAGAGGACGAGAAAGAGGGCAAAAGAGCTATCTGTTTGCGGCGATTTGAATCTTTAAAGGGAACGGAGAGGAGGGACTAACACAGGCCAGCCCACACCCCCTTGCTCCACTCACATTGGGTTGTCGTTGCCCTCACCCTTTTCCTAGCTGAGGTAGTTCTCGTTGTCTGTAGGAAGTCACCATCCAAGTCTCCCTGGGCCTAGACCTCTTGCGCGATGCCCTGGTCAGGTGCACTTCTGAGCCCCTCCTCCTCCTCCTCCTCCTCCTCCCCATCATCGTCGTCGGAAGTTGGTCTGTGTTGACTCCCGAAGGGTGTGGGTGGAGGGGTACCTGCTTTTTCTCCATAACGCCCGCCCAGCCGCCTGTCATGGGGATGGCACGGATGATGCGGGATCGCACAGACACCGAACGTGACGAACGAGGTTCGGCCCAGGGGAAGGAAGAGAGGGACGGAGGATACCCCCCTCCTGCTCTGGCGGTCTGACCTGGACGGCGCTCTGCCCAGCGTAGATCGGCTAACGGCTGGTCGAGAGACGGCCTCACGTAGCGGCACCGTAGTTCACCACGAGAGGCTGCCCCGACCCTGCGGACTGGGATCTAGCGAGAGGCTGCGCGAGGCGTCACCCATGGAGCGACCGCAAGGCACCGCCGAGTAGTAGTAGAATGACTGCTATTTGCTGACTGGTGAGATATTGTTGAGGAGGTTGTTGTTGTTCTTTCAAAGAAGGATGACTCGTGCAATCGATTTGTCAGGAAGGGTGATGTAGGAACTCGTGATGAGAAAGTTGAACCATGGTAAAGTCGGAGACAAGGTATCACGATCAAGGAAAACTTCAGAGTTTGTTTGAATAGTGTTATTTTGATATTTCAGCTGTTTTGCTAAGATAACCTGTCCCTCCATATCTCATACCCTGGGTTCCAGCCTGTGATTTTGGGTTGATCCAACATAAGGAAAAGGAGATTAGCTAGTAAGTGCTTGTTCGTGATGGTAAGAAGGTAAAACGGCTATCGTGGATAAGCCGGTAAGGCGTCAGTTGGAGCTCGCGCTCCCCATGCCGTTGTGTAAATGGAAAGAAAAGCAAAAGTGGAAAAAGGCAAGAAAGAAGCAAAACCCATCCAGAGAAGGAAAAACCTCGCGGATCAATCGCCCACAATTGATGATCCCTTGAAAACGCCTGATATCCCTTAGGGCCCAAGCATGCCCTGACCCAAAAATAAACTCTCAAGCGCTCCCTAAGCGTATACCTGCTGTACATTGGAAAGGAAGAAGAATGCTTTGCTCAGAAGACGAATCCTTCCTCAACCAGTTTGTCCACATCGCCGCCGGCGGCCTTGACGGCCTTGATAGCTGCTTCGCTCATTCTTCGTCGCTTCTCCATCGCCTCCTTCTCCCGACGTGCCTTTGTCTTGGAGCTTCCGCTGGGCGCCACACCGGTCATGAGAACGTTCTTGTCGCTGGGAGTAAAGTTGACGAAGCCGACTCCCTCAGACGCACCGCCCAAGTTGCCGATGGAAGGAGTGCGCATGCTTTCGCGACGAGACCAGGACCGACGCTTCTTGACACTGGCGCTGAGAGCGGCGCCACCACCCCCGATACTGGACAACGAGCCGCCGCTGCTGTGACGGGAGCGATTCGTAGGCGTGGGCGACGTTGAGGAATCGCGGCTGGCTTGACGTGTGCGGCTCGGGTTACGCGTCTTGCGCATCGGCGTTGATAGGCACATGTGCCGGGCGCCGGCCGAGGGGGCACGGGGCATGCGGGGCCGGCGCTCCGTCATCTGTTGGGGGTGTTGCTGGTGATGAAGTGGCTGTTGGGGTTGGTAGTGGACGATGGGCGAGGATGTGGTACGGGGTTGGGGCATGTGGATCATGAGTCCTGACATTTCGTTTCCGGTGGCGGCGATGTTGTTGTATTCGTATGGCAGTTCACTGTGTTGTGTGTGCATGGCGAGGTTGAAGGTGGCATTGCGAGCGTTCTGTGCTTGATATTGTGAGTTGGATGTCAAGTCCATGTTGTTTCCACCCCACCACTGGTCGTCGATGCCATCCGTAGTGGCATAGGCATTGGACCAAGCGACATGAGAGTCGGTCTGGGGAGTTGTTGTGGCCATTGGCCAGGAAGCCTTGCTGGTGTTGGCGACGTTACCGGAGCTCATCTGCTGGTGGTGATAGAACATGCCGCCCTTGTCATCCAGGACAGGAGTGTCCAGTGGCGTGGTAGGATCGCTGCGACGGAATACGGGGACGTGGTTGACGGCCACTCCAGCATCGAAGAAGGGGTCTTCGACGTAACCACAGCCAAAGGACATGGGGTTGCCGCCGGCTGATGATGCGGAAGGCAGGTCCTGGGGAATAGTGGCACTGTTGGGAGGGGACAGGGGAAGCCTTGCGGGGTGAGGGCCACCGAGGTTCTGGAGATGCTCGGGACGGAGCTTGAACTTGCGAGGCGAGGCGTTGGGGGAGAGGGGACCCCTGCTGTCGATGGCGACGGTAGACATGGTGGGTTGTTTATGGCGGACAGACGCAGCTTTCTGCTGCAGTTTCGATGCGACAACCTTGAAGAAGTTGCTCGGCTTACGACCACCGTTGGTGTGACTGTTGCTGCTAGTATTGTTCTGATTGCTGCTGCCGGCAAGGTGGATGTTGCTGTTGCTGCTGGTAGCGGACGAAGCTTGAAGAAGAGGAGTGGGAGGATGGGAAACGACGACAGATGGAGCGCGAGATGGCGACGCTTTCAACGATATGCCTTCCAGGCGCAGGAGCTCAGAGTCAGAGATCGACTCGGCCCCGCCAGCGTGAGCTGTGTCCGGATAGGTCGAAGCCTTCCTTTGTTCTTCTTCACGGTCGATCGTCCATGAAGACTGGATACCCGGAACGCCCACAGCAGACGGTACCACCGCGTCTGAAGTCGCCGCCCCTCCTCTAGCGGCTGCTGATGATGGCACTAATGTGGCAGCGGGACCTGCTGCGGCGCTAGTCCTAGTTTCCATGAGCGGATGTGTGTGGCAACTTAGTATGTCGTCCAGATCGTCCGATACGCTTGTCGTCGATGCGGACCCATGGGCGGGGAGTGGCATGTTGTAGAAGAACGAGTCGGGCATGGCAGCAGAGGGAGGGAGCTCGTCACCCCCGGTGGTCGTCGAAGAAAGCCTCTCCAGGTCGACGAAGTCCTCGAAGAGTAGGCTGTCGCTGTGGACCGCACCCGAGCCCGATCCTCCCCCGCCGGCTCCCTCTGTGTCTTCTCCCCAGGGCAGGTGAGACTGGCCCCCGCTACCGTCTTTGTCCTCATCCATTGAATCTACTGAGAACTGGACTTCCGAATAGGCCATGTCGTCGTAGTCTGTCGGGTGCGAGCTGAGACTGACACTCGTGCCGGGGCTCCTCGTCCAATGCGAGACGGCCACTGTCATGCTCTCTTGTGCGGGTGTCTCTGCCTCTGTCTCTGTACTAGAATTGAGTTCCGCAAACGATCCGGAGCCAAGGCGAGGATCAGGAACAGAAGCGGGGGACTGGAGACAGGAGTGAGGATCAGATCTGTTGCGTGGATTATGATGCAAAACGGTGGATGGTTGGTAAAAGGCCCGTAGCAAAGGAGAGAGCGAGATAGAGAATGTTGTAATGTTCGTTTGCGGAAAGTGAAAAAAAGAGTGTGGAAAAGAGTGAGAGAGAGATGATAGAGAAACTGGGGTATAACCATCGAAGAATGGGACTCTTGTACGGAAATGAAAACCGTCGATGGTTGCAAACCCACACGGGGTGGAGGGAACGAGAGTCAACAAATACCGTCCAGCTCATGTCTCTGATCCTGCCACAGCAACTATTGCAAGAGATATGGATGCAGCACGGAGACGAGCACCATTGGAATTGGGGACCGCAGAGATCACCGTGCTTTCAGCGAGGGATGCCATCTGTTCCTGAATGGCCAAAGGAATGCAACCCACGTCGCCTAGTGACCCAACAGCATATCCGCATTCCAGTCAACACGGCCACCTCCCACTCTGTACCTGCAAGAACTGGGGTTGGTAGGGCAAAGAGACAGCGACATGAGAGGAAACTTGATCATCGTTTTCTTTCAAGGCAACGTCGTTTAACAAGAAAAGAAACCACCCTCGGGAAGAAACAATCACTTTGCTCGCCCTCTGTGCCAGGGCTGGTATTGGAGACAAAGACATGTTGTAATTCCTCAGACTGCAGGCACATGTCTAATCCTTCGAAAAGTCTTCTGCTTGCTTGGAAACTTCAGCATGCTAAGCTGACTGCAACCTTGATTGATATTTTGAATAGCTTTTGGCGGCTTGATACGGGATGTCGTCTGCTTCGGAAACGCCACTGGCGAAGCAAAATTATGATCGTGGACCCCGGTCATACAGCCTCCTTCCAAGCAGAAGACTACATCGAGATGGGGCTTCCTCTTGCTTATCTTGATTCTATGCCCTCCACTGGGAGGTTGTACCTTGTGGCCCTTTTGGAAATAGATCATGATATGCCAGGATGATGATGAAGTGATGACAAACAAGGGAACGGAGATATTTCAAGAAGTGAAGTAGGGGCGTAGTCGGCTAAGAGCGATGGCGGTGCCAAACTGCAAGGAATCACGCCTTCGACGGCCGGACCGGCGACCGATCCAGGCTCGTGCTCCAACTCCGAGTAGCTTTCACGGTCCGCGGCTATGCTATCCCAGCTCTTCGTGAACTAGACTACCCATAGCTATCAAGGGAAAGACATGGGTCATTGGTGATTTGCTGCCCCAGATGGAACTACTGCACGTCTCCTCGTCGACGCTGGCCTGACCACCTGAAAGTCTAATTGGCGTATCTCACCCTCATTAGCTGCGAGTTCCTTGGCTTACAACCCCTCCAGCTGTTGGATCATGCCATACGCACTTGCGCAGGTGGAGAGCGTGTTAGCCGGGAGACAGCTGGAATGTTCATACGGCTCCCCCCTCATGATACTTATCTGAAGAGGAGTACAAAAAGATGTGATGAATTCAAGAGGGGGCAGTGACGGCGCACGTCGCCGGTTCTGAACGAGGATCGTGGTGCATTGTGCCGCATGCATGAATGGAGACTCCCTTGAAATCCTCCTTTGACCACAATAGGTTCCCAGCCTATCGGGACAGCTTGCTCGCAGGGCAGCCGTTGTCTGTTGCACACGTTTCCCAACCACCCGCAACAACGGTAACACTGAAAACATCGCTGTCCTGTGTCATCTCAATCTTAGTCATCACTGTGATTCAAAGTGAGAACGTCAGCAGATAAGAATGCGACACATCCCAAACTGGGAGGTCTGGTTTGTTGAATTCGAAAGTTGTCTAGACCTCTTCAATAGTGTCCTCTCATCAGCGACCTAGAGAATGATGCATAGAGGCGAAACCCTGCCTGACAAAGGCTGCAAGTATTGACGCCACCTCTGCATCTTCGAAGGCTATGGGCAGACAAACACCCAGCCAAAGAATTGGAGCTTGCGCAACTGATGACTCGGTGATGACCTCGGGCCGTCAAGGTTGTTGCCAGCCGAAAAGTGTCTCCGATTCCGAACATCAATGCCGAAGAAGCGGACATCCGACCACCGAGTGGCTCATCGCAAAGATGGAATAAAAATAAAGGCAAAAATCTCCGTGTCTGGCCCGACACGATCAAAACGCCGTCTCACTCTGGATCTCCAGAGGCAGTGATCCCCAATTGAACTTCCAGACCATGGCCATGTTGTAGTTCAAATCCATCCCAGTAAACGCCGTTGCCGTAGCCCAAACCTAGTCCTTTTCCCATGGGTATATCGCTGAAATGTTCCTCAGACGCTCATATAATGAAACCGAAATAATAAGACAGACTCGACTGATGCGGAACTGGACTGTGCATCTGCCAGGACGATTCAGCTTGGTCGAGGGTCGATGGTAGGTCCTGGTCCTTTTCTTCGTCGCATCCTTGGTCGTTGTCTGACAACGTTCTGGCAACGAAGCGCCGTCTCTGCTGATCCTCTGAATCGCAAAGATCCGTAATTTCGCATGCCTCCCGACTTTCCCAACAGCCTTTCTCTATCGGCAGCTAATGCTTTTTGCATGAGAGCATATTCCTCGTCTTGGCCGCAAAAGCCTTCATCCACTTCCGGTTGTGTCAAGGCTGAACCGATTTCGGGATAGCCGTCGGCATCAATGTTGGGAAGATGAGGATATACAGGGACAGCTGCTGGCAAAGACGATGTTGCTGCAGATGGATGAACGTTGCACTGCAACTCTCCCGAGACCATGTCCTTGATACGTGCCTCTATCGCGCGGGCATTGGTTGGATTGTTGACAAAGCGGCTGTAACGTTGACGCCGAGCTCTTTTCCAATCAGCCACTGGCTGGTGCTCCTTGATATCGTCTGTAGCAAGACTCATATCGCAATCATCGTCCACCTCTAGATCGGCCATGGATAAATCGGTGACCAGTGATGAGGACTTTATAGCCGACGTCGCCAGCGGATTTCGTTGCCGGAATTCTGGTATTAGAGTCTGTTTGCTGAGCTCGTGGGCAAGGTTGTCAACAGGCTGCGGTGGAACTGGTGGTGTATCAAGAAGAGCTGGAGATGATGCCGGGGGAGACAAGAGTCCTTCAGTCGGGTTCGGTAATTCTCGTGGGCGTTGTTTGGGGGAGAGAGATGGCTCCTCGATAAAACCGTCCGCACCTGAGCGGATCTGGGTTCCTAATGCAAAGTGGTCAAACATCCTTCCTCAAGTTTGAGCGAAGGCTGGCGACAGATAGATTTGCCCTAGGTATGCGTTGACGAGAGCACAGCGAGGACTGAAGCTTGCTCTGGGGAGGGTGGGCTGCTATTATGAAGGCATCCGCATCGGCGCTAGAGACTGGGCGAAGAGGCGCCGTGGCAGCCACAAAAGGCCCTCGAGTGATTACTCCCGATAGTTGGTAGTGAGTGCTAGCAGCAAGACTGACGTTGATCTAACTCTGAGAGCGTGCAGGAAAATTGAGCGTGGCCGGGACGTTGACCAAGAGAGATTGCTGCCATGTGTTTGGGTGTTTGTGTCGTATAGTCGATTGTCGTTGGTTTGATGTTCTCAACGAGCAGAATATGCCACTGTAGCAAGCAGTTTGCGTCTCTCTGCTGGTAGGGAAACGAGGGCAAATGAGTATGAATGAGTGATAGGGACGTGAAATGGGAGAAAAGAAGTTGATCTAGGTTAGGAGAGACAGTTCCAACTGAGGGATGGCTAGAGGGCAGGAGGACGAGGAAGACGAAGGGGACTAGCTAATGTGGCGTAGCGTCACAGAGGATGCTAGCTAAAGTAGTGTAGCTGTGGTGACTGGGCTCGAAGGGGATGTTGAAGTTGGATGTAAACGGAGTCGAAGAAAGTCGCAGAACGAGGCGTGCGGCGCGTGGGCGGGCGCAATACACATATGGTCTTTTCCTTGGGTTGCAAAAGATGCGGTATGGAACCCGTACCAGTACCAGAACCAGCACCGGTAGCCAGTATCAGGCCTAGCAGTATCCGTACCGTATGGCCGGCACTACTAGCGAGCTAGCGTGGCCAAGTTTCTCTGGAGACAGTGGAGGGACAAGGAAAATGGTTGCACAAAGGCGAAGCTAGAGGTTGGCTGGCGGCACTACGCTGAGACTGATTGATGCTCCTCTTCGTGCCGTGCAACAGCCAGAGAAGAGAACGAGGAGGGACGGGTGTGCGTAGCTATAGGGTTTCGGGAGGGTTTGCTTGGTGGTTGTTGAATTGGGCCAGAATCGATATTGAGAATGCGGTGATGTTGAGTATGAGGCGAAGGTGCGTTCGGGTACCTATCCGTACGGATAGCTCCAGTTGGGTAAGAAAGGGGCGAAGGCGGAGCAGTGTCAAGATGGACACGACAAGAGATGCTGTTCTTTCGATGTTTGGAGCAACGAAATACCGAGGAATGCCAATGGCCTGAAAGTAAGGCGAGGCAATGGAAAGTGCGTCAGCTCTGGTGAAGGTCGACAAGAAGCTAGACTTGTTGAAGGGATTCGACCGAAGAACTTCTAGGGGTCGAGGGAGCTAGATGGGGATCTTAATTCGTGGTTTGGGGGCTCTTGTTGGGCCCTGTCTCTCGGTCGTCCAGGAGGGTCAGCGAGGATGAAAAGTCGAGACTTGATCGGCGACCGTTTCCTGGTTCGTGGTGTGAGGTGTGCTGTGGTATGTGCGTTCCACGCCTGTCCCTGCTTGGTGGTCCGAAGGGGTAATACGGATACTGCGTACTTGGTACGGATGGATACACAGGCAATGGAAAGTGAAGCAACCGGTGAGATCCGGGCCGGGTGGGTCAGAGTAATGCGGGAGTTGAAACCGGAGGATTCCTGGCGATGGTTCTAGGGCCGAGAGGAAGAGAGGAGACTCGGGAAGTCAATCTATTTTCCATTTGAACCTTGGTATTATCGGCCGTTTGCGACGAATTCCAGCGACGGGATGGTTTGCAATTTGCGAGTTGGAGGGTTTCCAATGAATATGCTATTAAGTGTACGTAGTAAGCATCCGTACAAAGCACCCAGTAACGTGGACGTGGTTTGAAAAAAGAAAATGAGGGGGGCCTGGAAGGATTGAAAAGCGTGCAGATGCTGGGTCGGAGGCGCGCCAAAGGCCCAAAACCGTGGGAAAACGGTGCAGTACCGACGGACGACACCCAGTGATCTGGGTCTGACGGCTGAGTCAAAACGCACGAGGGCAGCTTTGGGGCCCTTTGGGGAGATTGGATGACGGGCCAAGGAAGGAACGAGCGCCGATTTGCCTGTGTGTCCCTTGATGACTAAAGACAAAAGACCTGGGGATTGTCACTCCGGGCTTTGGAAAGAACCCGTCCGCCGTGCCTGCTTCCATCTCATGCAACGCTCAGACAGAAGCACTCGAGGTGCCGTACGCATATCACAGACTTTTCCATCTTCAATAAGACGGTATAATGTGAGGTGGTGATACCGGTAGCTACGCAGTTCTCCGTAGAGAATTAAAGTCAAGGTATCCATCCGTAGGTACCTAGGTACATAGGAGAGGAGGGGGAAAGCCTGCCCGTCCTGGTTGCCGTCCCTAAGGTAACGGAGCAATCAGTACGTACTCGGATCTAGACCCGATCAAGAAGGCAAGACAGGGGAGCTTGGGGCCCAGATCCCTGGTCCAGTGCTAAGCGAGCTCACTCGACCGCACTGGCCACATCTCTTTCAATCGAAGTTTCCACTCCCATCCAGGTCCCTGTCCCCTTTTCACCCACAAAGGCTTGTCGCCGGTCGGGAGTCGGGATCCAAGGACAACCTTCAACCACCTTGACATGAAGTCGCAGTTGCAATGTCGCGTCCTCATTTTCGGGAATGTGGGGACTCGAACCATTGCGCGGGCAAACGTCCCTCCTGTCTCACAGCGTACGGGATATCGGGGTGTTTACGAAAACAGCGTCGTGAGCGTGTACGGATACTCTGAGGTGTACTAGGTTGACATCTGCCGTGCCCACCTATTCGTCTTATGAAATGGGTTTTCACATGGAAACACTACGGATACCTAAGGTACGTGTAACGTAGCTGCCATGGTCCACCCGAATCAGTGATGGACACTTACGCTTCATTCATGATTAGTGCTCCCAAGCAGCTCGCCTATGATAGGTGGGCACAGCAGCAGCACAGCAGGTGATGCGAAGAATCTGGCCGGACTGTCAATTGCTTCACCAAAGTGTGAAGGTAAGGTAGCTTCAAACGGTCGTCGTGTTTAAGAGGCCCTCGTCGCGCCTGTCCAATACTGCGCTTTTCGGTCTTGCCAGCCATTCAAGGGAGAGCGACAGGTATCCACCCTGATCAGCTGGGTCATTTTGGAGCTTTTTGATTGGCTCATCTGTCATTTCCCTAGCGCCTGCACCGTGCATAGATACCCATGCTCCCGGGGTCCACTTGATACCGATACCGTACTCCGCTCCACCTCAGTTCTAGCTACGTACCGTGGGAGGCCCAAAACAGACGGAACGGAGACGATGCAGCAAATCAGCGGAAGGAAGGCTGAGTGGATCAAAGTACCTTCACGACTCATCATCCTGACACACTGTGCCCAATACCTTACGTCTATCCGTAAGGCACTCTATCATCAAGGGTGAGGCTCTCTCCTCTTACACACCTCAACCTGCCTGGACTTGCACAACCATCACCAATCCGCACAAGACAAAAGTACGGATATTCGCGTCAAACATCACCTTCCCCTCGGTCGGCCTGGAGTCGAGACAATCCGTCCGAATCTTCAAGTGCTCTCCCTTCATTGGCTACGAATACCGATACACGCACACGAGCACGGCGCAACAAGTGTGCTTCGCTCACTTGCGGCTCGCCCGTGTCGTACCTACAGTCTCAACCCTCCGTCGGGAATCCCAGCATCGTCTGATGAATGTGAGACCAGCTTGCCTTAGCTCGACCGCTATTCATGTCACAACGATGCACAGCTGCCTTCGAGAATCGCTAGAACAACCACTTGTCTTGCACCCTCTGCAGCCGATACCCGTCCATGTACCATCTGTCTCTGCCCTCCCGAGCGACGCGCTTTACGTTGTACAATTACGGATAGCCGTACGACGAATCCGGTCTTTCTCCGCGTCCTCGCGCATCTGAGACAACTGTTCAAATCTTGGGCTGCGAGCGAGTGTGCTAGCCATCTGCAAGACTGCAAGACGCATGTCGTAAAACTACGCCTAGCATCCCGCCTGATATTGAGACTGATCAGTCAAACCAATGCGTCAATGGAGGGTGCGGTTCGATCATCATGTAGCTTCCCTTGCCAGGTGGCCACGGACGCTCTCGACGCCACACTGACCGCTCCAGGTGCGAGAAACACGCCATTGTTCAGACGAGGCGGGCCCGATTGACGCACAATGCTCCGCCAGCAAACATTTACATATACGGCTCGGTCAAACAGCCTTTCTTCGGACGGTATCGCTCTCTTAGACTACGAAGGTTACAGCTCGCATCGCAAAGACGTAATGAACTCTCACTCTGGACAAGGAGAAACTGGACATCAGATACACCGGGCGATCCTACTACACCAGCCCTTCACAAACCGATTCCCACGAGGCTAAGACCACGGAATCATACCGCCCCGAAGCGCCCCGGGATGACCTTGTTCGTCTCAACTTACCGCTCACGTATACCTGAACTTTTGTAGGGCTTTCAGTCCATGATGCAACCCAGCTGAGGACCAAGAAGACTGATGCCTCCCGACTCCCCAGCCTAATGGAACGCGTTTGAGGTCGAGGCACCAGTCAATGGACAGCTTCAGGCATTTGCGTGGATACAGTTAACGAGACTGTCAGAGCACGTCAACCCAGTTTTCTGGGACTAAGAAAACCTTGGACATATCGCACCTCTGTGGATCATTAAGCATACCAATTGCTACGCACCATATGACTTGACTCGATATTTTAATTCCACTCAGCCCAGCATCTACACTTACTCACAGGCAAAGAGATATTCCATCATGCAGGTAACCTGGTCTAATTCCTGAGGAGTAAAAATGGTCAAGAAGCAAGGGTTCTGGAACACCCAAGAGTTCCAGTGACGACTCATTACTGGGAGATGGTGCAAAGCCTCAACCGTTTGGAGGCGCTTCTGTTCCTGGCCTTACCTACAATCACCTTCGAGACGAAGATCAACGTCTCCATTCTTGCCTAGTCTTGTCCACTTTCTCATTGGCGGGCCTATCCCCAGACAAGATCACCAAATCCGCTCGGGGTGGGGGATCGTTCCCACTGGCCAATGCTCAACCCGCCCGGTGGCACAACTTAAAACCAGGTCAACCGGGTGGAAGTTGAATACCTACTCTGTTGACACTCGCGGGTGTGTCGAAGCTTGGGCAAAGGTTTTGCTGCTCTATTCAGATGTCCCCACGTCTCATTACCAACAGTCCCTGGCACCGACAGTCAGGGGCCTTCCGGAAATAACTTTCGCGGGTGCATCTTCACCCCAGTGACCCCACCGGCGACTAACTCTCCGTGCTACCTGGTTGCACGTCATTACCAGATTACGCTCTTGAGTTCAAACACCGACAAATCCCGGCCAGAATTACCTACCCGATCAACTCGTACAACCATGCATATCTGTAGACAGTGCTTCTATCTGAGGTGTACGGAAAGACAGGCGAGGAAACCCAATACCTAGTCGAGTCCTGCAGAAGCTCTACGAGCGCAACAAACAGGTCGTTTCTGCGATTAGTCGTGACGACACACGGATACTTTTGTTATTGGCCTTATTCGTCTACTGAGTACTCTTCTAGGACCGTCGGCCAACCAACCCACTTCCAACCCAAAAACCGTTCGGTATCCGTTTCGTGGCATGACTCGAGCACAACCTGGAGCTTCTTCCTTATTGCCGAAGACCAACTCTTGCGTCATAGGTGCTCTCATCCAAGACCCGATACTGGTCGAAGGCTATCAGGTTACAGTCGAGCAATAAGGATGCCGGGTAGTATCCCGAGGCTTGAATTTGGCTCTGGATAGTGAAAGTGAAGCAATGATATCACACCGTCCTCGTTTGGATCAGATGCCTGCCCGGCACATTTTCTTCCAGAGCGGTTTCGGTGAGGTGAAGGACAGGACAAACGGCACGGCGGTCATGCTTCTGTCGGCTGATCCACCACCGCTGTCCGATCTGCAAGATCGTTGCACGATGTCCTTTTTTCTCACCGCCGCATTGACACTTGTCGCAGGAGAGCATTGGGCTGGCGCTTGCCTGTGTCGGGGAAAGCCTCATCGGCCGTGTGCTCGTTCATCCTCGCTCTCGTCCGTATAGTTAGTAATGCTCATTGCTTTAGCCCAGTCCACCGACGGCAGGAAAATCTCACCCCCGGCTCTGGCGCCCGCCGGTACTGCGGTAGGTTCAAGGCTGTGGGTTACACAAAGACTTTACTAGCCTTACGGCTATACTCAAACGAAGTTTTCAAATAGTCACCAAACGGAGCTCGGTTATTGAGACGAAGAAAGCTCGGGCGGCTGCTGGCTACCGAATAGACTACTCGGGAGGTGGTCACGGGTTGAAGGCTATCCTTTTTTTTTTTTTTTAGTTTTAATTCCCCTGTCCACGGGTCGGCCATGATCGTTGTCATCGCGGGGTGGCTGATCAAGGAAGAATAGGTAGCTCCGGCTGAAGTAGCGAAAATTAAAGTTGCACTCTATAATGACCCGAAAAAAATGATAGATAGATTTTACGCGCGAGAAGAAGAAAAGTTTCTTTGTTCCCATGCCGCCGGGATATGGGCGACGTTCGGCTCTTGCGCTTTTTTTTTAACGCACGTAACTCTATCTTGGAACGAATCCTGCCAATGGGTGGCTGTGCCTGGTCTGGACTTTCGAGATGTGTGTGGGTGGTCAGGGACCAGAACAAGCTTTTGGCTTGTCACGGCTCGGTGAGATGAGTTAACTACTGTGTAAGTTTTGTTGTACTTGCGGCGTGTTTTTTCGTAGTTTCTTCTCAACTACCGGGATCCAAGAGCTGTTTGGTGTCTTGTGCCTTTTCTGCCTTTGGAGTGCTGGTGTCTTGGTCGCGGGTGTCCCATCCCGTTTGAACCTTGTTGGGAATGGACGGCGACCTGTTGGTTAGGGTTGGCGGTTTAGCCGGTCCCATGCCTTGGAGTAAGCTTGTTTGTAAGAGTTTCTTGAACGACGGGGCGGCTTGCTTTTTTCCCGTCGTTCTTTAGGCTATGTGCTACTCTTGGGAAGACTTGGGAAGGCTGTGCCGAAGCGCGGGATCATGGGGATACTCGAGTGCCGCGGGAGTTGGTTTTCTTGCGCCTACCTAGATGTATTTCCATTCCGGGATGGAAATGCCGTTAGCTCATCGGGAATCACCTCGATGGCTTGCATAGCGATTAGATGTAGTTCATGTTTTGAGAAGTTGAACTAGCTGAGAAGAGGAGACTAAAGGAGCATGCTAGAGCTTCGTCTGGTTACCGTGATCAGGGACACTGCCGGAGGGTGCTATGTGAAGAGTGATATTGTCATGCGCTCCGAGGCAGATGATTCTCGATTACCCAATGTATCGCGGACGGCCGTAAGGCTATCGTAAGGGTCTTGAATTTCGTTGATCACACCCAGGAGATTGGAGATCAGCCAGGCCATGTCTGCTATCAAAGATCAACAGATGGCTGCCAACAATTTACGGCAGGTAGGGCCCGCTGACGGGGACACCAGCGTGACCAAAGATTTCAATGAGACGAAGAGAGATGATTAAGTCACAGGAACTTCTACAGATGCCGGTAAGATTGATACAACCATTAGAGACCCATACGCAATCCAGAACAGGAGCGAGAGGAGGCTGCAGGAACGGTCCGGATAGAACAGTTGTAGTACTTGATGGCGAATACAGAAGAAGAGTATTATGAGGAAAGAAGAAAATTCGAGCCACTGACACTGTCGACCTCTTGGCCTGCTGGCCTGTTATGGCAATGAAAGAACACGCGTTCCAGGTCGAGGCGAGGTCAACAGACGCCGCCTTAACATTGTAGATAGGCAATATGCCCGAATGTCACTTCTGCTCCCTTGCCCCTCCTTCGAGAGCTTTTTTCACGTACGTAGCCCCCTTGCAACGGCAGAGAGTTGATTCCGCAAAGAGACGAAATGTCATGGCTGCCTCTTCGAGCATCGAGCGATCCCTCCTTATACACAGCATTTAGGGACGCATAGGTAATGTAGAGGCCAACAACAACCTAATTTCGCGTCAGACTTTTCAAAGTTAGGGGGAATAGACGCTCGACTCAGCGTGAGCTGGTTGTTTTCAGAGGTTTTGATCAGGTGAAGGACTAGCCACGTCGATGAAGATCACGGCGATTTTGAGGGGGAGAACCTCCCCCCACGCCTTCGTCTCTGAGAGTAGTATCAATACCGGAATATGGCAGAAGCAGAAGGAGAGGGAAGACCCCGACTAGGCGCCTATAGGTAGAATATCCGTGTTGTGCCTGTCGCTGCTCCAGAGTTGGGACATAACTAAATCTCGCCGAATTAGGGACCTTGGAAACGAAAGTCCATGTGCGCGGTCGATCTCTTCGGATCCCTTCGAAGTTGAGGAGAAGACGCTCTGATTATATAGATTCCCTTACAGGCATCGAGAACGCCGTTACAGCCTTCTCCACGCCTCCTCGCTCTCTCATTGCAAAGTGCATTTCTAGGACAGTCAGTAAGAAGAATCGCGATACTGTGAGTTTTTGACCGCATTGTCTCCTTTCTCACTCTGACATACAGAAGTATGCTCCGTTTCTATATTCGTCGCATCGTGTAGTTCGCCCAGCTTCAATGTTCTTGGCTTCAAGTCTCCAAAGTTGCCTGGTGATTTGAAGCTGGAGGCAAGCATTCGAGGCTGTACATAGTTGTTTCAAATCCAGCTCATGCTGGATGATCCTGTCTCGTAAACTGGAGACATGCTACACACATTACTCCCAATGACCCCAGTTCCCGTATCGGGTAAGCAGGACCCATTCCATACAACGTGCCGGAAACCCTGCATGGTCCACGATCATCGTAGAAGTACGGCAAGTGTGCTACCAGTGAGTTTCTAGAGCCTCCCCAGCTTCAGCCTCTACTAGTATCGTGACCTGGTTGAGATACGTATTACGGATTAGCCGCTGTTTTGATGTCCGCCACGATAGCTTTTGATACCAGTGTCCATTTGAGTACCTCGAGGAGTTACAGTCATCTGCTCGATCCGGGAAGCATGTTGAGCTGGTGACAAAAGCTAGGTTCGAGAAGGCATCGCTTGATTGCTTGGACTATGACGAAAACATATATGGGTGGTCACTTGACTACACAGCGTGGTAGCCTCGTTCCCGCTCGCAAACTCGGAAGTTGCCATACATCCGGCGGCTTTCATGAAGAGGTATCCGCACAATGGTCAATTTCAACGAAGGTGATTGCTCATTGGTCAACATCAGTATAAATTGCGGGAGAATGCCTCATAACCAACCTTTCGAAATCAACGATGTGAAAGGGCTATCATCAGGGTGGTTGGCGTATTTGAGCATATTCTTCAAGGTCTCTGACGAGAGTATTCGTTCGTCACCCCGTGTTCGAAATTTAACATATCTTTCAAGACCATACGCTTTATTCTCTCATCCGTCTCCGCTAGGAGGTCCATCACATTGGAATACTCAAAGGTTACGGAAGACCGAACCAAAGAACCCATTGAACCGAAAGGCAGAATCGCTAGGATACTGGAGAATCCTAACAGATAGCGTCATTGCACTTTCCGAAGTGGCCTTCTGAGACTTATCTGCTCCGTGCCAGAGTCAACTGGAACGAGGAGGGATGCCCGTGCCAAATAGGAAGAGCCCATTTCTGGAATGACCGTAATCTCTTATATAAGTTTGAATTTCCGTCGACTACTAAGGAGCTTGGAGGGGGTGTGGGGGTGTTTTCATGCCGCCGAGCATAGTACTCGAGCACTCTACTCGTTGATATATGCTGCCTAAGAGATCGCTTTTGGAATAATGGCTCAGACGTAAGCTGGTGTGTTCCGCGAACTGAGCCTGTTCCAGTTAAAAGAGGGCCCCCCTATGGCTGTTGATCTTGACAGTAAAACCAAAGAGGTGGTGGGCATACTACCTTGGCGAGGTTGTTCGCAAAGAGTGTGTCCCCGACATATTGACATTACAAGTAAAACTCCAAACAGAGTTTCTTGAGGATATCCCTTAGAACTAATGCTAGCAGGTGAGTTATACGGCTCAGACACTGCTTGTAAACTGCTTTTGCTCAAAAGTTCTCAAGACGTAGCAGCAGCACGAAACTCGAGGCAGATAAGTTGACTCGAAAAGAAAGGAAGAATGATACAGCAGCCATCCGGTTTCACCTGGTACGGTCGAGAAACGTCTGTTTCTCATGCCGTGTAGAGCGCAAGCGGAGCTCGTGAAAAGTGACCAAACGGGGCTGTTCACGCTGATGCCGGTCGCAGTGACTGCGTACATCGTACCAACGTCTCCTCAGACCATTTCGACAACTTCGTAACTCAGGTTAATGTATCAAGGCGACTAATTATGCGGCCATGTATCCTAGATATCGGCGCGTCGAGTGAAATCATTCCGCAGTATCATCTCTTTCCAGATCACGTCCGGATCCACGTTGACAACGTAAGTTCATCTTACAGCCCCATCTACGGTAACACAGATCGATGAAATTGAGAGCCTGACTTACTCATTCAAATAAGCATTTCTCTGAGCCGCAACCCTCATCTACCTACCCATCATGAACCCCTTCTCGTTCATCAAAGATCGCTCTCCGAGCCCAGGCTGCCGAACACTGCCCTTCTTCCCTCCTTTAAATACTCCCATGAGATATTCTTCTCCAAACAAACTTGATACTTGCAAAGGATACGTCCTATATCCCATCACGAACGTCTCCTAAGAAACATTAAGCGGGGTCCGAGCAACTGAGTCGGACGACCCGGCCGCCCCGCCCCACCCTCACTCCGTCGCGTCCTCGGACTTGCCCGGAAATCTTATCTTATCACAACCCCGCCCCGCGCCCGACTTCCCTTCCGCGGCGCGATATCTGATCCTCAAGACGTCCTTCTCTTACTCTCACCCTCACTCACGCCAGCTCTCCATATATCTCAGAACTTTTTCCACCTAACCACCAAACCTCCTCGAGTCTCACCAATATCAGCGACTCATACCTTTTCTCAACTCTTCTCTCACACCATAGACCTCTAAACTCGCCCTAAACACAGCAATCCGCCTCACATCACCATACCACGACTCTTCCAAGATTATCCAAAATGCAAGCCCCCCCTCCCCCAGAACTAAGAATCTCCCCGCCGCTCCTAAACTCAGCAAACCCATGGTGCACAACCCTCGACGACCTCCAACGACTTCATGCATGCCCCCACACAGGCGCCCTCACGACGCGAACCTCCCTCCTCGCAGGCTTCGCCCACAACGACGCAAGCCACCAATACACCTTCTTCGACCCCTCCACCGCAGAACCCTCCGCGGCGCCAAACTCCTCTACCCCGGAAGCGCCCCGCGCTCAACTCGGGCCCGCGGACGTCGCGTCCCTGAATAACCTGGGCTACTCCCCGTTACCCCTCCAAACCTACCTCGACTTCATCAGCCAACTTCCGGAAGGCCACGGCCACCACCGCAAACTCATCATCATCTCCGTCACAGGCTCCCCCTCAGAGATCGCACAATCCTACGCCCTCATAGCCTCCTTCTCCTCCAAAACAACCCACCCGCTCGCAATGGAAATAAACCTCTCCTGCCCCAACATCGCCACCGCCGCACCCCCGGCCTCAGACCGCGCCCAGCTGCTCGCCTACCTCGCGGCCCTGCCCCGGGAACCCCTCCTTCCCATCGGCCTCAAGACGCCCCCCTACACCCACCTGGCGCACTACGCCGAGCTCATCGCCGCGCTGCGCGAGGATTCCACCGTCGTCACGCCAAAAGCCATGCTCAAGGTGCCCTGCAAGATCAGCTTCATCACCGCCGTCAACACGCTCGGCTCGTGTCTCTTGCTCGAGGGCGACGACCACAGCCCGCGACTTCCGGGGTCTGGACTTGGTGGGATGGCCGGGGCGCCTTTGCATCCGCTGGCGCTGGGAAACGTAAAGACCATTGCAGAGTTGGTCGCGCGAGAGCCGGAGTTGTTGCACATCAAGGTTATTGGTGTCGGTGGCGTCTCGGATGCTAATGGATTCAGGCGGATGAAGAGTGTTGGTGCGTATGCTGTTGCCGTTGGGACGGCATTAGGAAGAGAAGGAATAGATGTCTTTGAAAAGATAGCTTCTGGACTTGAAAAACGCTGAGTACAGCTCTGGATAGCATCTTGGAATGGTCGAACGTTCACACAGACAATGCGCAAGATTCACATAGTTGAGTTCGTGGAATGTTAATCGTAACTTTTATTCATTGAACGTCATTATCATTGGGTATATAGCAATTAATATAAGAGGCTCGTAGGCCTGGTGTCGCACAAATAATCAAAACATGTCGCTCGCTCATACTGTCTGAGATTGGTGGGTATCGTTGCTCCCCTCAGATCCTTTGCTGGAGCCATTCTTTTCTTCAGAATGCTCAACTACTGGTGGCGTAACGCTCTCGCCGTTGGTTCTCCCAAAGGGAGAAATCTTGCTGAAAATGCTGCCTCGCTTGCTCTTGGCTGCAATTGTTGAAAGCGTTCGCCTGCGCCTCCTAATCTGGCTATTGATGTCGATCTCGTCTTGTCCGGAGACACGTTCCTCGGGGGATATGTAGGAGTGGGCAGGGTCTGTCATCGTCTTGGCGTCGCGTACAAAGGCAAGCCATATGGGGTAGAAGCCTGTGAGAACGAACAGGGCGACGATGATGACGAAAGAGAGCTGCACTGACACGCCGCTGTTGATGACGGCGTAGACAATGTATGGGAAGAACGCTGCGCCAGAGCCGCCCATGGTGATGAAGGCGGCAGCACGCTTAGTACGCCTGCCTTGACCGCGAAGGCCGATAGCGAAGATCAGGGGCCAGACAGGTCCCTCGGCGAAGTAGAAGAGGATGACGACAATCATGAGGAGGTTCGGATCCGACGGCTGCAAGACGACAGTGAGGAGGGCGAACAAGATGGAGAGACCGACGCTGATGGCCAGCCACGTTCTCGGTTTCGGCATGCGCGGGTTGCGCACCGAGAGATATGTCAGGTAGGCAACAATGAATCGCGAAATGGCGAAGACACTGTGCGCAATAAGGTGATAATCAGTAACACCTATTGTAAGCCCTGGAGGCTTGTCACTATTCTCGCCTGGGTTTGTATCGGCATTCGTAGCCGCAACACCGCCGTCTTCCTGATTCGGGAGGATGGCTATTGTAAGTGCGCGGAAGAAGATGTTGTTGCTTTCTTGGCAAGCGACATACGTCCACTGACCGAGGACGGCCAGGATCAAACTCCATGTGCGCAACTGCAAACCGCCGATGCTACGCTTCTGAGGGTTGACTGGAAGCCGGTCTGCCGATTCTTGCAGCTCGTTATCATTCAGCTCTGGGAGCGGCATATAGTAGAAGAAGAGGCCTAGGGCGACGCAAAGCAGTGTGATGGCAAGGTACGTCCATTGTACGTTCAGCAACGTCACAGAGTCTGAGCCACCCTGGTTGGTGATCTTGGTGAAGAATACTCTTTGGGCCATGAGGCCGCTCAGAACGGAGCCTACACCTTGTACGCCTTGGGCGAGAAGTAGTCGTGTTTCTCCGTACTCTGGCGGCCCACAAAGGATCAGGAAAGCGTTCGCTCCTGTCTCGAGGACAGATAAGCCAAAGCCGACCACGAAGTTGCTAAGGAGGAAACCGCCCCAGGACTTGGTAACAGCGGATGGCCAGAAAATGATGGTTCCTACACCGTAGAAGCAAAGGCCAACGATAAAAGTGACCTTGAAGCCACCAACACTTTCCGCGTCGCGTTTGTTATTCTTGCGGTTTCTTCGATGATGTTCGTCTCGCCTGAGAATCCACTCTCCCACCAACAAGGGACCAAAGAAGTAACCACCGCCAAAATAGGCGGTTGTGAGGCCTAGAGTTTGAGCAACGGTCATACCTGACACGCCGGAGATGACGTTGTTGAGGGTGTTGAGCAGACCGTAAGAAATACCCCACATCACAAATAGGATTGTGACCACCAGGCAGTATCGGAGTGATTCTTGAGCGTCACATTTGACCATACTCTTGGGGCGCTTCATATTGACAAAGCCAAAGTAAATTGTGTTTTCTCGACTCGTTGCGATAGAGGCTCGGTTGGCAACGCCGCCGATCCTGCCCGCCCCGGTAGCCTCGTATTCGGCCAGCGTCATATCTGGTGTTGTCAAGAACTCGAGTGCTGTCATATCGCTCATATCTGCGTTTGCCGCTGCGCTCATATCTCGGCTGGCACGATGGGTTGCTGGGGGCTCTTGAATGTTGACTGAGCCACGGTAATTCGGACTTGTCGGTGATACAAGGCCGTCGCTGCCGGTGCGATTCCTAGGGCTGTCTAAGGCGTCTTTTTCGGTCTGCGTGCTCGATCTCGTTCCGTCCGGGTCGATGATCATGGCGGGCAGGATCTTAATGATCAATGGCTTGAGAGTGGGGATACACGCGCAAGCCATTCCCACGTTAACCTCTACGGCAGACCACATAAACGACAAGGACGAGTTCCAAGCAAAGTCGGGTGTGCCACCAAAGTGAGAACTCGGATCGCTAGACACGCCGCCGGTGGGAACCGAGCTGACGGCTTGTTGTAGGTAGTAAATTCGGACGACGTCCACAATAGTGACGAAGATACCGATAGTGAAGGTGAGTACGAGAATAATCTTTTGCCTCGGTGGCAATCGCATACCCGTGAGAACCGGAATCGGCAAGGCTAGGATGGCTAAATCGGTTACGATGTTGATGGGAGCAGAGCAAATGAATTCCGTCAACAGCGGGATGCATTGTGAGGTATCCCGCCATATTTCCCACGCTGCCTGGACCGGTCGACATTGAAAGATGTTAATGAGGGTTAATACAGTCCCTGCAAGGTTGACGATGCCCAGGGTCACCCAAGACGCGAACCGAAGCACCTTTTTCGTATTTTTGGAGAGGCGGAGGTAGAAGATCAGAATACTGGTCTTGGTCGCCATCAGGGCGGGATTCTGCATTTGTGTAAGCAATGCACCTAAGCCAGTTGTGTCTCAGCATAAAAGCATTACTCACATAGAGTATTGAAAAAACATATTCGCACGCTCGTAAAGAATTCCAGTGGCCCGAGGGTATATCGTCGTCGTAGCGACCCAAGCCTTTTCGTGTACCAAAACAAATGGTGAAGGACAATCCAAAGGCAATCATCCAGGCAAAGAACATAATCTTGTCGTCCCAGCTGACATTTCTGACAATCCATCGCCGGCAGAACAGACGGGCAGCAACCATGACACTCGCTAAGACGAATGTAGCGGCTGTCACGGCAAAGACTGCCGGACCGCGATCCGGGGCGCTATCATCTGCGGCATCGGCAGATGACATGCTCGGCGAAAAGTGGCGGCCAACCTGGGGAGCTCGAGGGAGGTTCACCACCACGGAGGTTTGGCAAGAGGTGTAGGGTGGTTAACTAGACACCGATGACAACCATGCCATGACTTTGGGCTCTGACACATGGACGCAGTCGAACGAAGTGGTGTTGGCGCGCAAGTTCGCTCGGTATCGAAAAACCTCGGATGTATAGGGGTCTGCGGTGGTGGTGGTGGTGGTGGTGGTGGTGTTACTGTTCGCGGGGTGAGATCAGAAAAGCGGAGGGGCTCTAAAGATTTGTCCTGGCGGATTCGAGGCGGTTTTGGAGAAAAATTCGGGGTCGGGCGAATTCGTCAGTGCAGAGTACAAGTCCTAATGAATCGGGCGGAACGCAAAAGGCTGGAGTAGGAAAGTTATGAGTTTGAGCGTCAGGTAGCAGTCGTCCAATCCTTCTAGCTGCAAGTTTGCGCGAATATCTTCGTAGCCGGCAGTTCGAGTGGTGTGTGATGTCCGACAAAGCCGCGGCGCGTAATTGGCAGGCGAGGATGGCGCAGCGTCATACAAGCCGTTGGCGAGGTTAGCGGCAGTGTAGGCGAAGACGGCCGGCAAGGCAAACGTAACGTGGGTTGCTGGCCGTAAGCGAGGGACAGACAGACAGGGCCAGCAGGAGAAGCTCTGTATGTTTGGCGGGGGGAAGAAGGGGAGGAAAAGAGAGTCGAGATAGAAGAGTCGAAAATACGGGATGGGATAGTTGGAGCAAAGAACGACAGCTTTCGTCGAGGCGAGGTAAACCGTAAGTGATGCTGGGCGCTTCCTCTGCAGGCTAATGCTTGTCTAAGGTGTGGTGTCGGTTCGGTAATGGCTGGTTGGACAGTTGACTTGTGGATGGTTTGGGTTGACGGGGCCGTCGCGTGGGCTGGTGGACTCGTGCTCCTCTTTCAGTTGTCGCGGTTGCGTTCCCACCGCCTATGGCAGCCGTTGCAGAGTTTTCCGATCGAGGACAAAGGCGAGCCGCGATGGAGATTCGTAGTTCTGGCGAAAAGATACTTTGGTAGGTACTATGGGGTCCCTTGGTACAATGGAGCATCTGAGTGGGTGACGATGCGGATTGATGGGGACCAGAGGCAGGGCGGTCGTGGCGGGCTGAGCTCGTGGGAGTGGCAGAGCGAGATTGGTCGTGGGCCCTTCAGAGTCTCCAGTACCGTGGGAATCCACCGTGGCGGTGACTGGCAATGGTCACTGGTTGATTGACTGGTTGAACTGAAGTGATGCGGGATACCTTGGATGACAAGACGTGGAGGAGAGGAGGTGGTGACAACCTTTTCGCAGACTCTAACCATCTGGAATTGAATTAGGTTCAAAACTACCCGTTGTGTGGTACGCACTAACAGGTATGGTTTGATAGGCAAAAGGCAATAATGTGCGTATCGGGTCGGGTCGGTGGTCGGTGGACGAAGGAGACGTGAGGAAATGGAAGTTGAAAGAGGCGGGAAAATTAAACGGTGTGTTGCGGCGGTGGAGCTTCCGCAGGTTCGGCGGTGCGCACTGGCGTGTTGGAAGTTTGGAACTCCTGTCATTCACTGCGTACTGCGTACGTCTGGAAGTACTGCGTAGACTCAGCCGGTCTTTTCTCTTTTTTCCTTCTGCAAACCTTGTGCGAGGCGGGAGGCAGAAAAGGAGGAGAGACGGAAGAAGCGTTGGGTCCGCGCCAGTCCGTTCAGTGCCAGGTAAGCAGACCTCGGGCGATACTTGGCAGTTGGGTGTTTGGAGTTGCGGGTAGAAAGTACCCACGGCGTATGGAGGACTTTCAGTCCATAGTATATGTAGGTACTTGGCAAAAGTATGGAATGCGGCGGGCTTGCAGTAGCGTAGACACTATCCTAGGCGCTCCGTAGCCGGTACGGACTGGCGCAATAATGGGCGGTGGGCGATGACATAGAAACGTCGATCCTCGGCGCCCTGCAAGCCAATCAGCCATCTGGTCATGGCGGGTTTACCCCGGATTCTGGACCTTTTTGGGCCAAGTTGAACGAGGATTCAATGGACTCCTCCCACCCGGACCCAGGCACACCCAGGATGAGAAATTGTGAGACGAGGAAAAGCTTCTTAGCCTCCTCCATCGCTCTGCTCCATGATCCATCTGCTGCAAGGATACCAGAAGTTGCAGGGACTGTATGTACTGCGAGGAGGGGGGGAAAAAGGAAAGAGGGCACCTCAAAGAGAGTGAGAGTAAGAGTGAGCATTGGGCGGCAAGTGGCTCGGGAAAAGGCGGGTTTGTACTTTGTAGTGGACGGATACTCCGTACCTTATCCGTAAGAAACCTTGGGACGTACATTGTAAAAGTTATCCAATATCTGCACTCCATAGTATGGTAGGCACTTTACCCAATACCCCATCCATCAGGCAAGCCGCAAGGTGATGGAACCCGGAGCCGAGAGGGAAGGGAGGGACTCAGGGAGACCTTGAGAATTGGCAACCTTGAAAACGAAAGAAGCCAGTCATCCGCTCCACAATATCAATCCACTCGAGAGAATTACTAAGGATGACTGCCCACAAAACCGGTCGACGACTCGCAGCTTCTCCCCCCCTTTCCCCTCAGTGGCCTCTACTTTCGAGTGGCCTCCATTGCGTGACTCCGTATGAAGCAGTAGAAGCCTCCCGCTTTTGGCCCATTGAGGGCGCGAGTCCGAAGTCTTGTCCTCGAGTGCTGGAAAGCAGGATCCGGCTCATTGGGAACGCCAACCTAAAATCAGTCGACGGTTTTGCCACAAATCACCCCTCCTCATCATCCGAGATCCCCTTCCCTGCCTTGACGCCGATGCTGTTCCGCCCATAATACGTCTCGTCGGCTTCTCTATCTGCCTCGGCGATATCGTGGTGCAACATCGAGGTATTCCACGGAGAGAAAGGAAAAAAAAACACGCAGGTGTGGATGGCGTCCTAGTCAAGTGGAGAAACGTCACTTTGTTCCGTGTTTCTATTTGGGGCATCAGAGGACGGGGACATTGAGAAAGGAAGTGAGAAAATTAACGACCAAAAAACCCTTCGCCGAAGCAATGCCCGAAGGCCGATGAGTGCCAAGACTTGTGTTGCCCAGGCGTTCAATGCAAAGCAAACCGCTCACTGCCAAATGCTGTGGCCTGTGGCCTGTGGTGGCAGATGCTTGGCTGATTGCGAAGTGCGGTGGCCATGCATCTTGACTCCATAGTGCACCCGAAGTCGAATGTGGCCCCTAGCATGGCGCGATAAATGGACCGAAGGACAAGCGGGACTCGTTGGACGTTAAGCTTGCCAAAGCAGGTTGATAATCGATCTGCGGCTTGCCAATATCTGCTTCGCCCAAGCAGCGAATACGGACCCCTTTGTCGATCGGGTGGAGGGATTGGAGAAGAGGAGGTGAGGCCTGAAGCTTGAAGTGAGGCCTAGAGGAATGAGTGGGAGCCAAGGAGCCACAAGAATGCAGGAAAAGGCGCGACGCAGACACGGCATGAATGACAATCGCGGGCCAGTCAGAAACGGTCGCTTGCAGCCGCCGTTTGTGACATATGCGACAATCGGATGTATCTGAAGTACCGAACGGAGTAAATGAGCCTGGAAGGAACAGAGAACGACCTCAGTTTGGGACGGAAGGAAAGACGAACGGGACGCTTGGTGGTGGTGACGGTCTTCTGGAAACTGCGGAGGAACGAACAGACATTCTGGGCAGGCACGCCTGACTCCAGGTGTTCCCGCCGTATCAACTTGGGTCTGTCTCTCACGTGTATTCGTACCTTAGCACTCAGGCACATGAGGTGGTTTGGTGAGACGGACTTTTGCCATTTTGCCTCCTCGCTTTCGGAACCGTCAATTGACGTACACACATCTATGATCTTGCAGGGAACTTGTGGTGTCGATAAAGTTACCGACAATCCGTTACTCTACACGTCGGCCAAGGCAATCAATCGAATGCGATGTCACCTTCAGCCACGATCGGTATTTGCTGTTCCAATGAGAGTGTCCGACCTTGCTTGTCTTTGTTCTGCGCTTTCAACGGCGGCACATGACGTTGCCTCTTTGCACCACCCCAGGTGCCCAGCCGCCAACGCAACAATGCCCTTGTGCCAAGTAGCTGACCTTTCTCGAATCTCGGCAACGGTTTGTCTACATCTCCATCTCTCCACGGCTACGTTGTCTACGCATATCTGTGCCGCTATCCTTCCGTTTCCGGATCACCCTTCGACCAGAACTAGAGAATCAACCCGCCCCGTCCTTTCTTTTGGCACTTTTGGCTATGCAACAAGCTCACGGTGGCGTCCGTGCCAGAGAACAGACAGCGCCCAAAGACCTTGCGAGCTTCTAAATCATACCTCGGCTGACCTTGCTGCAGTATCACGGTCCTTGCGTTACACAGTCAATACACTCGTTCTCTACGGATACGTTTCGTGTATTCGTACTCACTCAACTGTTGTCCTTGAAATTCGAGAACTTCAATCATGTGGCCAAGTCGTCTGCCCGCTTCGTGAACGAACTGCCACTGGGAAGCCACAGACTTGACTACCAACACCCCGGCTCGAGTCAAGAGATCGCCCTCATTCGAAACTGAACCTCGTCAACATTGCCCGCACCATGGGGAAACAACGTCATCCGAACCGTTGCAAAAGAACCTTCTTTTGATCTCGTTGTATCAATCCCACGTCCGAGCACAACCCCCGATCCTTGACTCCACGGCGGAATGTCCACCCGATCAGCCTACCATAGGCCATCACCAGTCTTGACTCTTGAGAAGGCGAGCCTCCATCGATAACCTCCTTGTGCCATTGTGACCACGGCCCGCAAAAGATATCGGATCGCCAACGAAAGCTCACCTCGCGATTTCCACCAACTGCAACCCAGAAGTTTCAAGATGATGACTGAAAAAATTCGAATCGGGACTTTGAGGGACTTTCAGGACAACCAACTTTTGTTTTTTTGTGGCTGATTGCCGCCCACTGGCTGCTTTGCACCTTGGGACCGCCGTTACTGCAACAGACTGAACTGATGTGAAGGCCAAGCATTTTCTACGGGCTCTACGAGTCATTCTCCGTGGAAGCACCCAACCTCGTACGAGTTTGACCCCTCCAAAGACTTCCGATGCCAAGAAAAACTGGCAGCTGTCCATGGAGCAAATGTAATCGGTGCGCTCACTACCGCCGGCAGGCAATCAGCTCAGTGTCTGTGCCATACGAACTCACGGTCAATGTCCGTTTCGCTGCTACTAGCCGGATTAGAGCAGGGCGAGCATACTTCCCAATGCGACCAAAAGAGCCTTTGACGGGGCGATTGAGAGTTCCCGACGATTACAAGCATACCCACACAACATATGCTACGCGCACGTTTCTACAGCAGTTGCATCCTACAACCTACGATACTGTCTGAAACTTTTGAGCAGCTCAACCGCTGCGCTGCCTCGGCCTGCCTGAACACCAAAAACAGCATACAGCACTTACTCGGTCTACCACTGGTTAAGGTTTCCTGGGAGTCTCCATGTAATCATGTTTCTTCTCGGTGCCAAAAGTCGATCTTTCTTTATTTTGGCAAAAATAACCCGAGAATGACGAATGCGCATAGTTGCAGGCAAACATGGTGACTTTCCCATGGCAGCATGGCACAGTGCAATTAACGCCTCGCAACTCCACAGTTAAACAAGCTATTACTGTGTATATCAAGCAAAGGTAATCGTGATCTTCCGTCTTTACGAGTAGGGCGGAGTCATTCATGGGTACCATAGAGACAGATTCATTACAATCAAGGCTCCAGCCTACCTTGAACACGGTGTCCCCCATATGCTCTCGGACTACCCAGCCACATGCTTTACTGCCATCAAGTCTTGAGCCTCGCTGCTGCATCTGGTCGACTTCATCTGACTCGTGATCGCGGCTATTCATCCCTCTTCAACCAAACAAGGTTCCGGGAGCCAACCCGCAACTTACAAGCGCCCAATGGGAAGTTTAAGGTGCCAACGGCTAGGGATTATCGAGTCAGCTTCGCTGTTTTGACCTTTGTCTCCCATGTTTCGCTCGCACGTGTAATATGTGTGACTGCAAACACTATTTGATTGAGAGTGGTAGATTCAGATTCAGCTTCAGCCCTACAGTAACTATCGACCTACACAGTAGTAGCTTGTGGCAGCATCGCCCGCCCGCCAACTTCTCGGACTAGCCTAGATGCAGAAGCTTGTCTTGCCTGAGTTTGCGAGTTGCTGGGCAGTCAAAGGTCTTTTTGCCTACCGGGTTGGCGGCAACGAATGTTTCTATTATAGGAAAGTCGTGCCGCAAACAGATTGTGGCTCTGTCCACCTCGTTCCAAGGTAGGGTGATGGCGGCTGAGAGGGTTACAGTGAGCTGAGAATACGGGCACATGGCTTTTGCAAGAGTGCTAGCCGCGAGACGAGATCGGAGATATTCACGACGACTTGGCGAAGGGGCTCTGCCATTGACGTCTCAGCTTTGTGTGCTGGTGCTGGATAGATTTTCTGAGGATGATTCAAATGGGCACACAGAGGGGGAAGGACTGCCAGTCTCTTTCTGTCTGTCTGCCGTTTCCTTCCAACGACGAATCTCTAGCAGTAAGCATTAGCCGTCTGGGGTTTGTAGTTGGTTTTCTGCTTTGGTCCAGATGCGCCGGTCATAGTGCCAGGGTCTAACACTCGGTTGAGTGGGAGCTTGTATGACGGTAGCCCTTCCTGATTCTCGTTTCTGTTCCACTGATATGACTATTTTCGGGTACTTGACGATTATTGTGAATGGGTTTCATGTTGAGATCTCTCTATTGAGGCTCAAGATGGACTTGATGAGTTGCTATTTGCCATATCGAGTGCAAGTTGACATCACATTGGGCGGTTCTTCCTCGGTATTACAGTCAAGCGAAAAGGCCTTCAGCCTTAGGATATTATCACTTATTACAAGCCAGGGTTCTTTCTCGCAGATATTCAGCAGATGTTGTGGCGTTTCATTTCGCCCAAAGCTTTGCCGTCGACGGCGTTAGGAGTGTCTCTAGGAGGTGATGCTGGTCTTCTTGGAATTACGTGACTGGGAATATTTGGAACGGGAAAGTGTGAGATGGACGCCTCTCGTGAGTTGTCGGTTCTGGGTGTCAGCTATGTAGACAAATGCGGTAACGTTACCGTTGTCTTTCCTCACTCTGTTTAATTTGGAATGACTTACGTATGCCGTGCTCGACTTGGAGGACATGAGGTTGTTGACAGTTCATGCGGACCGACCTTGGTCTAACGTGGTCATACCTCCTTCATTGGTTCCTATGGCACATCAGTTTTGTTGCTCTTTTCAAATAGATTGGCAATTTTTGTTCTTTCTTTCACCGGAGGACTCTCCTTAATGGATCTCATTCTCGTCACGAAAAAGATCGGAGAAGAGGCATCGATCACCCACACCTAGACCGACTCGAGAGCAGCAATGCCAGTCCAAGTTCCTTAGAAGACTGTCGTGTCATACATCACTTACTTGGATGAGTGTTTCACAGTCAACGAGGGTTTATCTCCATGGTGATCGTACTCTTGTAGGCGCTCGATCGGTGTGCACAAGATGGGGGCTTGCTGTTCGTCGTTGTTGACTAGGAGCTGGCCCTCGGAACCGAGTCTGAGAGCCACGTGAACAAAGCATTGTGTTGTTCCACGTCAGCTCTACCTGTGTCCTTGCTTCATTACACCACACCACAGTTGAGGAAGGAACCCGCTCGTTTCTTGATTAGTAGAAATCCCTTCATTATCAGGTACATGAAGGTTAGTATATGATCTCAATCACATCAACCACAGAAACCCTCAAACCGAGACACCATGAAGGTAATTTTCTGGCTGAACTTGACCTCCTCACTATGGTAAGAGGTGTGAAAGTAGGAGCCTTCTCATTGCCAAGCTTACTGCGGTAGCTTCCTTATCCTCGAATTGAGATAGATTATATAGGCCATGAGGTTGAGGCTTCTCATAATCTGAGCAGGATTCATAGTACACATCCCGTAGTGAGGGTAGACGTATCGGAGGGCATCAATTATTTCATTATTAAAGTTCTATAAACGACTGTCTCCTGATTGAAGTCTGCTCTTCATCCTTCAAGGACGGCGGACGAGTTGCGTGATTAAGTAGGTATGAAATAAAAGGGGGCATATGGATGCAGTAGCAAAGAGTAAACGAATGTTCCTACATGTAGCCAAAGGCTACATTCGACTCATTCACGTTGCTGGGGATGGGGCTGAACTCAAGGCATACCTTTGTCGTGTGTGCTATCTGACTTAGTGCTTTTCGAAAGAATTGCTGAAATCTTCGATGCTGTACAATCAAGACTCATAGAATTGGCTCAGCTGGCTAACATTAATTCACCGGGATGTCATGGGGTCTAAACCCGCTCATGTTCTGCTCTTGAGTGTCTTAATTTTATCTTAGCCCCCAGTCTTCTCAATGTAAACTTGAAAAATCCACGGTTACACGTATCACTTTCGGAATCTCAGCATACTAGACGCAGCCTAGCGGGAAGTGGTACATTGCTCTCTTCATAGTCGGATTAGAATTATGGAACAGCTCAGTGTGGCTTAATAGTCAGAAAATGCCTCTCAGGTGACTTTGCAACTGGAGGGGCATCCCGCGACCTATCTAAACTACCTCATAGGTACTCATACAACGACGGAAGTGCATTACTCTGTCACAATAAATCCCCTGCATAGTTTCTTGTAACCAATCTTTAACGTTCTGCGATTAAGATCGAATTGTAGTGCTTGGCTAATGCAACTTGAATAGAGAAGTGTGCCCAGGTAAGTGCAAGTTTCTAGCTGCGTCACAAAAAAGCAGCGCAAATCTACGGGGAGGCCAAACATCCAAGTCGACTTGTCAGTAGACTCTGATTGTATGAACATACGCCTCTATCAACTGAGAAATCGTGAGGAGTTGCGCAGTTGAGAGATGTAGATGAGGGCGAAGTCATCTTCTTCCGGGAAACTACGGCTCTTGAGTCTCTGATATGGTTTCGATCCTCTATGATCGAATCAAGGAACAATCATTGGCTATGAATCCTCCTCTCTCTTGCTAGAGATATGAGAACCATTCTCATATCGCGTATCAGCGGCATAACGTTAAAGCAGTCTTCTATAGGATCTCTGGAGTACGTAGAGCTGTCAAGCCTCAGACATTTTGCTGGAATCATGAACCCAGGGCCTAGAACACTCTAGGTACGGTCACCAGCTATAGTATCTGCCACACCAAGTAACGAACTCGCAACCAACCAAGGTCATCACATCACGACAGATACCTCGTCGCCGCCTGTTCTCTCAATCAATCTCTTCCAAGTCCATATTATTCCCCAATCCGACCACATCTTACCCCCGCAAACCCCACAATGTAGCATCACATCGTACAACCTTCAACCCCCAGACATTCCAAAGGACGAACAACCTCCGGAACCAACATCCTCAAGCCCTCCTCAGTGAAAGGCGCCCCTTGCCCACCATGCACGACGCGCGCCGCCGATCATGTGGGTTGATGCCTCCCGTCCAACCTCCGAAGGTTACTCAACCCACGGAAAACCAACATCAACCACAATACAACCACCAGCCGTCCACGGTTTCCTTTTCCACCCGTCCATTTTCCATCCTCCTACGGTACGTTGGCTGGCCCTCGCCGACCAACACACCTGTGACCCTCAATCCTTCATCCTATTGATCCTTCTATAAGACGATCAACATATCAAAGCATTCTTTAAATGCTCACCCCCTCTCAGCTGAACCACAACCCTAGTCAAAAGCGCTAAACCCAACAGAGAACGAAGCCGTCTTGGAGCTATCGCTTCTTGTTCTATTTCTCTTCCCCGCATTATTATCTTGCAGCATTCCCCCTCGTTCTCGCTTTAGTACGAATACTACCTCGCCAGGCCTAACGGCACCACTTGCTGACCTCACCTGAGAAACCCCAGACATACCCCTCCTAACCTGATCACTGCGAATCCCACCTCGTTCTCGAATGTAGGTACGGAGTATCCGCAATCCCAGTCACGTTCTCGACCCCAACTTCAATACCACCTCATTACCAAACCCCATAACATCCATAAGAAAAGCCGTGTTATATCCCCCCCCCCCTTCTCTTTCCTTCTCCGCTCTCGTCACCGCCGCCGCTGCCACTGTCGCTTCTCCCCTTCTTTCCAATTAAGGGCCTAAGATGCGACGGCCCGATGCTCCGTGACAAAAAGAGACAAATAGACAGAAAACCACACAGAATGGCCCCAATTATGTCCCATTCGTTGTGCTAATCCCCCCCCCCCCCCAAGCCGTTCAACTCAATCGAGGAGCCATGTAACCACGGAGCCGCATGCACCGTCCCTACACACCCTCTTCTTCGCCAACGCAAGAAAGGGAAAGGCAAGCAGTGAAAGAAGAAGAAACCCTGATCTGCAAAGAAGGGCGCAAACGTGCCATTCATTCTTCTTTCTCTCGAACACGTTCCGTCCCGCCTGCCAAATACCGAGGCTGGCTTGGGCTTGGCTTGGCTGTGGCTTTTACACAAGAAGCTCTCGCAGTTTGACCTGTTACACAATAGTACTTACCCTCACCTAGCACTAACGGCACGAGACCACCCTCCTCGGCTTCCCCTCAATTTCCCCTCAATCCTTTTTGTTTTCCCCGCCATGCGCCACATTTACTGGGGAGGACGGGTTAGCGACGCACCTCGGTATTAGCGACCGAGGTTCAACTAGAATCTATACCACAGCACAGCCCTTTTCCCCCGGACTAGTCCCAAGATCCCAAGCCTAAGGTTCTCAGATCAGGAACAGGACTGTTGGCTTCCTGTAAAGTGAACAACTGCCAAGATATAAGCAACAGTCAGCATGCCATTCTGTACATACTGCTCCTTGAGGTAGCGAAGGTAGCTAGTCACACAAAGTCCCTTGGCGATGTTCACCTCCAGACGTGAACCAACATCCGTAATCTTGGCAACATAGATGCCGTAGAAAAAAAGTATCTCGGGGAATAAGGCCATACTTGCAGAAACCGTGATTCGGTAACTCAGGGGTCCGATCGGATCAGACCGATGCGTTTGAACGGCGTAGAACGGCGCCATGTCGGTATTTGATTCCTCACCGTCTTCCGATTGTCCAGCAGGCAATGATGTCAATTGATGCATAGTCCCTGTCGGAAGTTATAATGATTTTGGTAAATTTGTTTGAATTGTTTGTGACTAGCTCTGATAAGCGTATACTTGGACGAGTCTCGAACTCTCAAAGGCTCAAAACACCTAAGCGGGCCGCAGCAGGGCCACATGGGCTACCAACAAGAATGGCGGCCGTCTCCTACTCTTCGAAACCGCAGACTCTCTCTTCTCAGTAAAGAAGCCCTTAGCCAGAAAGGCGTGGACTCGGCGTACCTATTACTCATCTTACACGTCCCCCGAGCAAACAACTGATCCGAACTCCCACGCATGCTAGATCATTCCTTCATCAAGAGCTCCCCCAGAAGTGCCGTTTCCATCCTCATGAGCCTTTTGTTTTTTGTTTCCAAATCTCTAAATGATGACCGTTGCCCCTAGGTGTTGACCCCAACATCCAAAAGAAAATTCGCGTTCAAATAAGGAGGTATCGTAGTGCGGGACGAATGGCCGCGGCCGTTGACTGAGAAGCCGGAACCACATGAAACCGTTGAATCGTACAAAATCCTACTGCGACGCTCCAGTACCACCGAAAAAGAAGTCCAACTCACTGCCTGGGCCCCGAGCGAATTGGTGCTCGTTTTCCGCGAGTTGCTCCAGGAGGCTCAAGAATGGGTCCTTCTCCTCACCTGGGCCGGTGCCAGTGCTTCCGTTGTTGCTCTTGTTTCCAGGACTGGGCGCGGCGACACCGGCTACCTTGTTTCCACCGTCGTCCCCATGCCACGCGGCTGGACTACCAAATGCATTTGTTGGTAGTCCGCCGAACATGGGGTCATTGTAGTTGCCCCCTACCTCATTGTTCCCATTTGCCCCTGGCGTGGCAAAGCTGAACTGCGGAGAGAAGGAGTTCGAGGAGAGCGCCGGCATGTTGGCTTGCTGATGACTCTGAGGTCCGAGAGAAAAGCCTGCCGCCGCTGCTGCCGCCACGGCTGCGTTGTTGGCCGCAGCTTCGTCGTATTGGCCGTGTGAGGCAGACATGGAAGGATGCTCCATGGTCTCGGGATGAGGGGGCAGAGATGTGGGTGTCGCGAGCATTCCCGGTGACGGATGAGACGCCATAGTAGGGGTTGGGTGTGAAAAGGAGTGGCGGGCATGAGAAGGCGTTGGCAGGCCATGCGGGCGCGCCATATGACTCGTGCTGAGCGGTGAGAGGACTTTGGCATCTGGACGCTTCCGGCTAGATGGAGCTGTGTTCTTGCGCTTGAGGCTCGGTCGCTCAGGCTCGTTCATGCTATTGGCACGAGGCGCATAGAGATCGTGACCTGTGTAGGTGTCTGTGGTGAAGTCGACAATCACATCAGAAAGGCTCAAATTTGCCGCGTCAAAGTTGAAGGTCTGACCGCCGGGCCCGCCAATGTTCGAGTAGCGATCGAAAAAGTCCTCGAGGTGGAATGCCGGAGAATATCGCATAGGGTTGTTTGCAAGGCTTTTGACCAGTTCGGAATGAGCGTTGTAAATTCCTTGCAGTGTTTCCCTCTGATGTTGGACACTTGCCCAAGCGTACCGGAGCTCGCTGAGTTGCTGCATCTCTCTGGATAGGAAGTCTGCTGACATGCTGAACACAGTCGAGTCACCATTGCCATTCTTGTTGTAGTGGGCACCGTGAATGTGGACTGTGCCGGCGGTGCATATGCAATACCCAACGAAAGCCGGCCATTCAATTGTGCCGGTCTGCTTTCCAAGTTCGACAAGCTCAGAGATTGCGTTTGCGTGCAAAAAGCACATGTTTGTTGCTTCAATCTGCCAAGATTGGTGCTGACCGGTTCCAGCGAGCTCGGCGAGGTCGATGGGTAGAAATGGTCGGTAAATGAGGCAATGAATCAGGTGATAGATGAGTTTGCTCAGGACTAGAATTGTCGAGTCGGGCTGCCCGAATAGCGTATCGAGGCTCGAAAAAACGTCCTCGGTGCCGGAAGCCCAGATGTCCAAATCTTGACGAATCTTTGACAGGTTTGAAAGTGAATGCCATGGGAAATGAGAGTCGCCCTTCACACCTCCAGCAGCTAGGTAGCGGTTCGTTATACCCAGAATCCGGCTGATGTCGATGAGCATTCCCGTGCTACCTTGAGACTTCTTCCCGCTTCCCTGAAGGAATTGCAGATTGGACCCGGACTGAAAGAACTCGCCGTCGATTGGGGGTACTGAAGGGTTCGGTGACCAACATGGAAGCCGGAGAAGGATGGTCTTGTCGCCGATGAGAGACGGACGCTTGGAGCCGCAAGCCAGAAAACGGTCGAGTAAGTAACATGTCCAGAAAAGTCTCCTCCTCATTTCTCGCTCAACTGGCGTTACGCGTGCATTGTTGTCCATCTCGCGATGAGTTTCGAGAGCCATTGCCATTCCAACTGCATTTGCTGTACACCATGTCAGCATCTCAACTTCCAATGTTGCTCCTAATTCCCGTAACCTACTCATCAGCATATACGCCTTCTTGCCTTTGCCTGCTGCAGTGAAGGCGATGACCAGCAGGAGCAGAGCCTGCAAGGCGTCGACCGAAGGCTCATCGGTGTCAATCTCTGCTCTGGCCCGCGAAGCGAAGTCTTCACTTAGATGCACAGCTGACTGGTACCCACTAGGATGTGGTGTGTATCTAATAGTCCGGTCAGCGAATTTGATCAGTTATTGATGCTCACAATTACCTTGCAGCGACAGCGTAGATCCCGTGAACCAAATAATTCGGTAATTGGTTCAGTTGAAGTCGTTGCCGGACAGATGATTCGTCCAAGATGTGGTAGGGCTTGGAGTGAAACCGCGAGAAGTAGGTGTCTAGCAGCGCGTCGGGTTGAACGGTAGGTGGTGAAGGTTCACTGCCAAAGTCAGTCCATCTATCCACCTGAACTTCCCGCCCAAGCATCATGACCTACCTTGCCGGAGCTGGCGAGTAAACGGCAGACTCGTCAGCGTCTACTTTGGTGTCCAATGCTATACGCTTGGGATTTGGGTCATCGTCGGGAATGTCGTCTGCTCGTGAGGTTTCTTCATCCTTGATTCCTGCGGTAGTCGGCGTGGTGGGAGTCTGCTCCCCAGCATTCTTCTCCTTCAATTTTGCCTCCAACCCATCGACCCTCTTCAACAGTGCTTCCAACACATCTGTCTTTGGCCCACGCTTCTTGGGCACGGCATCTAAAAGCAAGCGTAAAACACATCAGCCTCTTAAAACCTTCCCCAGTTCCATCTTTTTATCTCTAAGCACGTGAAAGGTTGGCTTACCGTATACGCAAGGGCACTGAAAAACTTGACAGGCCTCACAGGATGGGCGTAGCCGATTACACTTGATCTAATGGTTATGTTCAGTCAGACAGAGGCTCTATGGTTTTGTAAAGACCCTGCCCTGGGCGAGGCTGAGAGGTCGTCATGCTGTCTCACCTTGCGCTTGCGGCATGATTTGCAGTTCATAGACTCCCGAGGCTCATTGCTTAGTCGCCGGGTCGGTAGGCGCTCAATACCGACTTGCGGACGGGACATGGCCACAGGGTGGATACCAGGAGGGGGAAGTCCGTTCATTGATTCGTATACAGACATCGACATCATCCAAAAGATTGGGTCGGTGATTGTAAAAAGGGACCCAGGGTCGTCGAATGGTTCGGGTTCGGAGCGCCGCCGGTAGACGTGGGGTGGAAATCAGTTGTTTTAAGCAAGCCGAGTAGCTAGCGTAGGCCGGTTGGAGGGCAAAGCTGTTGTTAATCAGGTCATATCGAGGTGGCTTGAAAAGGGCCTGGCAGTCGTCTAGCTGGGCCGTCGTGAAGCAAATGAGCTGAGTTGAGAGGCTCACGATGAAGTGCAGAAGCACAGAAACTAGACAAGAGGCCTAGCTAACGGGACAGGATCGGGGACCGGTGAAGTTATGAAGTAAAGAAAGGTAAAGAGGTTGCCAGGCCGGGCCTAGTAGGTAAAATGATGACTGTCTTTCCCCCCCAGCAGTCGTCTAGGAGTAGACATGTGGAGGTGGCTAGTGCAGCCGACTAGGGTGTGTTCGTCTCTCGTTATTCTTGCGTGGAAAGAAAGCAGTTCGGATGCATCAAGCACAAGCAGCAGGGGATCAAAAGGGAACGGTTACAGAACCAGGGGGAAGAGATTGACAAGGAGCTCAAGTCCAATCAAGGCAGAAGTGAAGGGGAGGTTGCACGAAGGGGGCAGAAAAAAAGAGAAGAAGGCGAGCCGGGGTGGTAGCAGTGGACACTGGGCTCTAGAGAGATTCGAGGATGTCTGCTGTCCAGGCCTGGATCACCTCACAAAGTCTGGCAGAGAGAGCAGGTATAGAGTGGATGTGTGAGCGTGTGAGGAGAGGGATACGTAGTGTACTCTATACGGATAGGTTGGCAGTTGGCAGGTATTAGCTTGGGGAGGATGAGGAGAAGGAGGCCCAAAGAAAGGACCGAGGGAAGAATGAAGGCGCCGGAGTGAGAGACACACAGAGGGAGAGACTAGAGGCACCACGGAGTGAGACTGCGAGAGGAGGTACTCGGAGCAAGTCTGAAGAGGGGGGGGGCACGATGTTGGGGAAAGATGGGGCAAGGCAGGTTGCTGCTTCGGTAGCGTGGAGGCCGGGGTAGGGGCGGTTTGATCACAGAGGCTTGTCTTGTTCTGTCCAAGGTCTCGATGCGACTGGGGAGCCGGGCTGGTGCTGGCAGACTGGGATGACGCCCGCCGTCCCTTGTCTCGTTTTCCTTCTTTTCGTTCGCTGTGCCCCGGACGAGAGACCCAGTCATCAAAAGACGGGTATCCGCTCTGTATTCGCAAAGCGGCACTGCGAATGGCCATCCCGGAGTACCTGGCCCGGTACTTTCAGCCAGGCCTTCCATGGTGTGCGGTGTATCCGTACGAGCGAAGTACATGGTGAGAATTGCTCAGATGTCTTCCCAGCCGGGTTTGGGTAGCTATCGATATCTAAAGATACTTCATCTTCCCCGTTGCCTACCGCGTGGTAACTTCTTCGACATCCGGCGTGCATGGTCCGATACCGAAACACACATTGATCTCGGGCGGCGTTGTTACAGTAGAGAAAGCTGCTGTAATAGTGTTGAGAGGGCGCAATGAGTCGAGGTGAAGAAATGTAAAGGAACATCCAGAGCAATTTTCAAAAGACCCTGGATAGAGTTAATGAACGACTCGTGGCGAAAGGCAAAAAAATCCAGAGCCGGACAGGGACAAGGCAGATGTAGGCCGCCGCTGCCTTCAACCTTCTTTCTGTACATAAAACAAGTCTCATCATGCCGTGCCATGTCGTGATACAACAATTTCAACACCACACACCGGTTAACTGTTGCTGCCTCTGGATAATCCGTGATAGTCTGTCAGCGCTGACTGGTCAGACAAACTAAGGACATTGGACAGGAATCCTCGAGGCGCCCGAGCGACCTCCCCCTTCGAGACGGGTTGCTGCAGACTCGCGTGGCTAGCAAACTGTGATGTACCTGCTTTGTGGCGCTGTCGTTGTTTCTTCTTCTCTCACACAACCCGGGGATACCTACATACCTACATGATGGGGAAGGACGACGACGAGCATTGGAGGCGAGGATGGTACTCGATGGAGGGCTTGCAAGGGTTGGAGCTGGATGGGATGTGTGGGGTTTTTTGGAGATGAAAAAAGAAGTGAGCTTGTGAGCAAGTGCAGCGCGTGCCGTCACTGCAGCGCACAGCTGTAGCGCGCTCTAAAATGAGGAGGGGGATGCAAGATGGACAGGTCGCCTCGCTCAGATGGACCCAGATGGGAGACGTACAGCAGGATACCACTTCCTGTCGGTAGGGATCAGATGTCAGACAGCCAGACAATTCAGAAAGTGCCTGAGGACAGGCTGGGGACAGGACATGTAATCTGTCTAGGTTGGGCCCTGGTTGGGTCGGGTTGTCGTCAAAGTCAGTCATGGAATTGTGCGCCTGAGAATCAAGATGAAGGAGGGAGCCGCTCTACCGCACAACACGGCATCGTTCGTTTACCGGACAGGACATAGAGCGAGAGACAGCCGGTCTTTCCGGTTCATTGTTTGTGGTGGGTGTGAATCGTCCGAACCGGTGCAGCGAGACGAACAATTGTACGGAGTATTCGTAAGTCAAGACGACTTGGAAGTTTGCGGCATGGCATATGCCAAGCCAAAAGAAAAGCAAAACAGAACATGGGAGGAACCACGGGACCTAGTGATGTGAGATGACATCTGTGATGCAACAACCGAGTTTGGCGATGGTGGACCGTGTTGTCTCTGGGTTTGAAAAGATACTGTACGCCAGCGTGCCTAGAGAAGGACGTCTCGAATTTCAAAGTGGAGGTATAACGAAATTGGCCTTGAACCGCCAATGTACATCTCTTCCGCACCTGGTCAATCTGTTCATCACATTTGCGGTTTGGTCTTCAGATAACTGATAAATGAGGTTGAAACTGCGCCGTCTTGATGCCGCTACCGTTGCCTGCCGCACCATCCACTCAACCCCTACAACAGAGAGCGGCTGGCATCATGCAAGATGAGAGTCGGATCACAGACATGCTCGAGCAGTTAATATATGGTGAACGGCAAGCTCGTTAATCCCGAGTCAACGGCTGGCCGCAGAACCTGCCCGAGCAGCACTCTTGTGCCCAACTAACCACGTTGATATTGCCAACTCGGTGCTGTAGTCAAGCTGCTTCCCTGATCGAATCTTGCTGCGTACCAAAGATGGTGGACGTAGTTCCCGTACAGGAACTGGGTGCTGATGCATTACAGGGAAGCAAGGTTCTTGGGAAAGTCTCGTCGACCTCGAGCCCTGAATATGACAGCAAGGTAGAAATAGATTGGTGACCTTACAAAGTCCGTTGATGTCAACCTCAAGTCTCAACTGGCCCATGCATGTTGGACGCAAAGTCCCGGCGACCCTCGCCAGAAGTTACCGACACACTGACCTGGGCAGAACCCGACCCGTCCCTGTCCTGTATAGTCGTATCCTCGGCGGGACTGGTCAGCCCCAGGTCACCCCTCCTTTCCCGCAACTGGACAGACCCGAGGTGATCAAGGGACTCTGGGTGGTTCCGCAGTCCTGCCATACACAATATTCTCCATAGGCCTCATCCAGACGTAGGTGTGCCAATTACACTAACTAACAACTGTTCAGAATTTGTCCGATATTTGCTGACCGGTACGGGGTCCAATGCTCTGACTCTCTCCATGGCCTCAACAATGGCATCATGGACATCCCCTGGTCTCAGGCTTTTGAATGAGAGCAGATGTTGCCTTCTCTGGCTAGGAATACGGTCTCTCAGAACACCATGCCTTACCTTACACGGCATACAGCGCGTGGTAACTCTCCACCGCGACCGACAAACCCTAAGGCACGCAACACCCGTTCCGCCCGAAGTGCAACTAGGACATGACTCTGCAACTCACCACAAACTCGTAAAGATGGGTCGTTTCTCGAAAACATCTATCCACATCTCATTCATTAACCTTTTTGACCCTCATGCCTTGGGGTAACAGCCGAGCAATCTAACCTCTGCCCATCAGAGCTGTGACCCTCTGTCACAGTCCTGAGTAGGTATGCCCGGCGGGCAGTGGCGTCTCACGAATTAATCAACACGTGGGCGCCAGAATCCAGTCGCGGGCTCTTGACAACCATGCTCTTGATCATCTAGACTCGCCGCTGGCAGGGGGATTCTCGGCCTCATTCATCACGACAGCTAGAATTGTCTTGGTCTAATCCACCGGAATCCAGTTTCAACCCATATAAAAGTCTGATCTGGGTCCTATCAAGCTAGAATGCCATGAGCTTCGCTATCGACCTTCCGCAAACATCTGATACCCTTCACAATTGGAATGGGACCTAAGAGCCCCCCTTGTACTGCTGCTACTGCCCACCACGTTCCCCTCAAAAGTCCAAGGGGACGTGCGAAAGCCATGCACTGACGCAGTAAAAGCCCGGTTGATGGGCGTCTCATCGACCCAGGCGGCACCTGTTGAGGCCGGTACTTGATCCAAATTACATACATGGCCCATGCATGCGCTTCCCCAGAGCAGGTATCTATCGGTGCCTTTTCAAGTACCGGACGGATACGGCATCACATCTACAAAAGAAACGACGAGTGGAGGACAAGGCCAACCGTTCTCCAACAAGCTGAGACGGGCCTTGTTTGGATCGACGGCCACTGTATCTTAGGACGAACATGAACGTTCAAGCAACAAGGTGCCTGGCAATGCATTCTCGTCATGTCCCGATAGCCTGTAGGCCTATAGGCAGATCAGATCGGCGACTTGTTGGGTGGATGACCATTACCAATGTCAGGGCCTTTCTAAAGCCCGGATCCCCGACTTGCCGTCGCCAACCGGCTTCACTTCTTCCCTGTCCATTGAGGAAGCATCCAGTCCCGGCAGACCGCCCCGTGAGGCCCTGACTTTGTATGCAGTTTGTTATACGAAAAAGCGGATATTCAACAGCCCTCTCGCACGGGCGGAAAAGGGACACGGGAAAGTGACGGGCTCCCCTGTCCTGGGTAATCACACCTGGTGCCAGACCACTGTGTCGGACCCCGTTGGTCAAGCCGGCACTCACCGGACCGCCAAGATCGGGCCATCTAATCAATCCAGCCGTAGGGGTGTCCTTGGCGCAGCCTTGTCGAGCCTGCAACATGTCATTTCTTCTTCATCTTCGACATGGCTTCACACGAGCCCCAGGCATGGCTCTGCTGCTTCTGACGTTTGACACTGACACTTGACAGATTAAGTAACAACTCATTTATAACGCAGTACACTGGTCAAACCAGCCATAGGTGTTATACCATCCCCGAGATGACGTTCGCTTGGCAGCTCTTTCACCGAGATCAAGGGCCGGTCCGCCAAACATGCCCATGTAGTGTCTGTGTCAGATCTCGAACGGATCGATGGGAATAAGAAACGAAGCAGAAAAAAAGAAAAAGAAGGCAAAATACCGAAAGACGCCATAGCCTTCCAGGCGGCACTAGAGGTTCGATTTGGCATCGTGCCGGTCCTCCACCGTTTAAGCATGACTGCGGTACTCTATGCCTCGGACGAAGCTAGGTGTGAAGAAGTACCGCTTACGGTATGACAGACATGTCCACTGCCCAGACCATGCATGCTACCCGTTCGTAAAGATTCCCTTTTCTGCGCTGGTGGCGATTGGCCCCCAGCTTCAGAAAAGCGGTATGATTTGTTGTCTGCATGTCTGCTGAAAAGGGGGATGGATCATGGGGGGCCTGCGAGGGAAAAAAAAAAGATGAGACGAAATAGGATCCTTGCCTAGACTGCCTTAATCGAGGTAAGCCGCGGGCCAGGGACACATCGTAGGCGGGCTACCGTTCGAACTTCGGAGAGCTGCAAAAGAAGAACAAGGGCATGCAAGGATGATGTATCCGTAGTAGGTATGTGAGTAGAACGGCTAGACCATGATGACCCAGTTGGCAGGTGACATGCCTCGAGGTGAGTACGGATTTAGATGGTCTATACGGAGTAAGTACGATAGAATCCACACTTGATACTGGCTATCATGGGACGTTGCCTCTGCCTTTGTCCATTCTGCTGATGGTGTCTTGTCTACATGTCAGTTACCAGGCTGGGCCGACGGACTAGTTGTTTCGTTGCTGCAGATTAGACGGGTCCTCGAACAGAATGTCTCACTTCTTTCCGCGCAAAGACACACTAACATGGCCCTCACTCATATCGGATAGTATCAAACCCTCCAAGACCTTGCCTTCCTCCCTGGCTCGTGCTGATTACTGACCGATGACGAGCGAACCTTCCGTCGTTGCTACGGGCGGTGAGCCTTGTCAGACAGTTGCACATTAGGAAGGACATATAGAGATCGACCGAGACTTGGGAAAGTTGGGATGAATGTTCTTCTTGCCGTGCCGAGGATAGCTTCGCAGCTCCTCGATTGGGACGTTCAAACCCGTCTTGTGCTTACCTTGCGAGATAACATCGATAGGCACTTGCATCTACAGATTCCAGGGCCTTGGCATCCTGGGTACCAAAGCCGTAGAGAAGCGCCGTGAAGAAACCGGCCACAGTGGACCGTCGTCTCGTCATTTCCGCTGCAACATAACAACGCACGATGTCAACAAGATTGCGGATGCTTGCCACAGATTAGGACCAAATGAACAGCTCTACGCCCGTCTCATTCCTTCCTTACGACAAAAGGACGAATGCATTGTATCCCACGAATATGCCTTGTCGGTCTGGACGGCGACATGCTGCTCTAGCCACCCATCCCGCATAGAAGTGGAATCTCACCCGCCCTCCGATCCGACCTGACACAGCCATGAGAACGTAGCTTGTGTCTGCTCACTCTACCTTCGACCAATAACTTTCTTCTTATCAACCATCCGCCCGTCTATCTTGGCTCATGGCTCTACCTATTCGGTGCCAGGCAGCGAGTCTGCCAGTCTGCGTGTCTGCACTAGAGGATCGCACCACATGGCAACCAGATATGGTCAATGCATGGCGATGATCCCGGCTCGCCAGCATTCTCTCCCGCAAGGGGGGGGCGGCTCGGGACCAAAGATCTTGTAGGTGATAGCACAGGCACAGGCACGCACCCACAAGCTACTGCCTTCGTCACCCAAGCCATCACATCACAACGTCGAGAAGAATTGGAGAACTTTGCACCAAGAGCCTCCGGTCGAAGGGGAGCGGAGACCATGCCGATCGATGCGGAGAAGCTTTCTACTTTTGTCCTCCTGCTGGTGCCATCCACCTCGCTGAATGCCAAGTGCGTCTCAACTCTTCGGGGGATGAGGTTTCCACTACAGTTCGTTCGATGTCGCTAGGAAGTACTTGCAACAAGTCTATACCCAGATGTAGAAACCGTTAACTACGGACTGACTCAAGTTCGCATTTTCTCGTGGATCCCCTTTCGACGACATTGAGAACGACCACACAGGCCGGCTACCGCTCGAATCAGAGCATGCTTTGAACCAGATCATGAACGACTGACGTTGGTCAGTGCCGAATCGAACCAGCGCAAGCCACCCGCGGCGAGTCTTCGTCTGTATCCTGGAGCTCGACACTGACACCCTGGCTTGGGCCCGAGGGGCTTTCCCCGGATTGCTCGTAGATCCGCCACAGCATCATCCACGCGTAAAGCAAAGCCACAACTTGGTCGTCCACCCTTGCTTATGCTCGATATTCAGCATCACACAAGAGTCATGTCGTGGTATCAACCTTATCGTCAGCGTCAAACCATCACTTTTCCCTTCACATGGATTGGCCATCTCGAACGAAGGACATCGTCCACGCTGAAAGAATCTATTCGTACCTACGCCTACCTCCATGAACCCAAGCTTGATTGACAAGTTGGCCTACTATTCAAACTTCAACATGGGCATCCCCCCACAAAAGAGGTGGACACTTTCCAACGGGCCTCGCCCAAAGTCGCAATTACAGCGAGCAACTAGCGGAACCCAGCCCCGGCTGGCATCTCCGGCACTTTCTCGAGACCTTCATTGAGTAAGTCTAGACGACCTGGGAGTGAATATTGGCAAGTCGCATTCATACGTTGGTGCACACAGCTTGCCCCGCACCTGTACACATGACATCCAGAGACCTTGTCCCCTCATGCACTCCAGAGCCGAATAGCGGCCGAAGGTGCCAGGTGGGAGACCCCAAGAGTCAGAGTTGAAGAGCCCGACACAGGCCGGGCACCACGGCATCCAAAAGGCCCTGACTGGGGTTCACTGGTCTCCTATGGGAATAGCCCGATACATGCTGCTCATGCCGCTTCGCTCCAGGCCCGGGTCCGATGGTGTGCATACAGCCACAACACCCAACGGCCATTCAATTTGCGAGACGGTTTCCAGCACTACTGCACCGAGGCAAAAAGAACAACGGCCGCAATCTCCAGATTGGGGGCCAACGTCCATGCCTTCCAAGCCTCAACACGAACGCATGAGACGGGCGGTTTGAAGCGAGCACGGCACCACGGTAGAGAATAATTATTACAAACGTGGCTGCAGTGTGTCTCTCGACGCATGGATCAGTAATAGGGTTGGCCATCCGGATGCTCAAGCTGCCGCCTTTCAAATGAGGTGTGGTGGAAAGAGAGCACTGTTCAACAAGAGGCCATCCATCATCATCAGACATCGACTCAGATATGTTACCGAGAGAAGCTTTGACTCTGCATCCATCTCCCGTCTGCTGAGCTAAACCCCAACCCACAACGTGGTGGATACGATCGTTGAAGGAGAAAGTGTATGTTGCCAAGCAGAGATACCATTTTCTCTCCATTTTGGCGCCGTTGACGCAAGTTTGCTCTCTTGGCGCAGCAAGACTTGGGCATTCAAAAACGCTCGGAGGTGAGAAACGACGTGATGACCTGAAACTTAAGCTTCGGATGTTCTTTACCTTATTCGGATCGCCTTCGGCCATTTCCCCATCACCAATCTCTATGCCGTTGTTGCATCCGAGTCTTGACCGCCACGCGTGGGTCCTAGACGTAACACAAGAGCCCCGTCAGAGCTCAGGAGCAACTTAGCAAGGAGCAAAACGCGGTTCTCTCGAGCCGCCGGTCTCGGCTCCGGGTTATGGCCGTCCAATCTCATAATGGCAAACCCGCATCTAATTTCTCGAACTTATTTAGGCCCTCGTCCAAGTTGCTCGGCACCCGTCTGGAAAGGTCCGAGGCTTTGACACGACCTTGACAGCATGGCAAGGGCCGCCATAATGTGACGGGAAAGAAGACTGGAAGCAGAGAACACCTGTATCGCCAAGCAACGGCGGTCGTACTACACCCACAACTGCCGCCACCCGGACTGAAGGAAAGGCCAGGTATAAACCAATACCATAACTCCCCTGTACTTATCACAGGAAAGCCTTCGCGATATCGTTTGAGCCAATGTCACCTACCGCTCTTAGCAACTTGTTCCATATTCCATTCCATGGGCCGTCCTGACGATCCTCGCACCGGCTCACCAACCGAAGATCTATATCACTGTCAGCTATCAGTCAGGTATGATTCTACAGCAAGCATGGTCTTTTCGGTTGAAAAGGCTGCCGGACCGCCGGGAACGTCCAAGATAGCCCTACAAAGGCTGCGACATGGTTGATAGAAGGAATTGGGCAGCGCAACAACGTTCTGCCGGATCAAGGCCGACGATGAGTTGTCACTTAATATACATCATACAGGCACTAGATCGGAAAGGGTTGTCTGTTCATGCCCATTTGCAGGCGAACATTGGACTCTTAGGCTCAAGGTATCTCATTAGAGTACCCCGTCCCCGTCGGTGGCGTTCAGAGGGACGGCCTGGACAGCAATTTACGACTGCGGCTGATGGCATGGTTCACCTACCTGTCATGGCGCTGCCTTCATTTATCGAGCCGGGCTCTCCGTGTTCACGGAAACTAGCTATGCGGGAGTCAGGGCAGTATCCACGCCTTCATTGTCCAAACTGCCGGAACATGCAATGGAATGACCAAACTCTGCTCAGAGCTCTTTGATCCGAGAGCTCTGACAACATCATCAAAGGCTATGATCCTTCCGTAAGTCAACAACTCATGAATCCTCATGTATCGAACCACACTTTCTCACGGCTTCGCCCTCCATCCACTCCAAAAGTTCCCTTGCATGTTCTTGTTTAAGCTTATGGGCGGTTAGGCGCGCACCCGTCCCACAAGGTCTCTTGACCCAGTAAGACTCGTCACCTCCATCCCAACGGCGTCTTCCAGCCGTACCAATCACCATCACGGCCCTCGCAGACTTTGGAGAATTTGGGGAACGAAGCCGGACCACCTACTTCTGACTCGAGACCTTTGTCCGAAGCTGGGGTCGAAGGAGACCATCGATTCGTGACTCCGCTCAACGTCCCCTCTCTCCCCACACTCCTCCGCGCATCCACTACTTTCTGCAGGTCTTGAACCCTGATTTCGTACAGAACTACAGAATCACTCTCATCTACTACACGTGTGCTCTGCAACACCTGATCATTAAGAAATGCCGGCCCGACACGCCACTGGGACATGGCAGCGAAAGCGTTCAGAGAGCTACTGAGAGGAGGAGGCGGGGCGACGTTCGTCTTGACCCAATATGGGCAGAAACGGGGGCTAACTTCCCGCGCAACGACGACGCCTCGCGATGACATATAGCGAATAGCGAGTCGTCGACAACAGCCATGTCAGCCACCCCCATCAACGGTTGACTGTCATCTCTTTCCGGAGGGGGGGGGCACCACTAAATGCGTCGAGCCTGGCCAGATATGATTCCCCGGTGTTTACGCCATCAACGTCAACCAGGTATTAGTCCGTTGACGCCCTTCCTGCCAGACGTATTCATAACTTTGTCGCTGTGCATGCCTCTTTACGGCCTTGGCAATCATTTGTGAGTGAGATTAGCAATATGTGATTCAGCCGCGCTCCATCACCGTACGGTTATAGACGCGTCGATAGCAGACCTGGCCCTGTCGAGAGCGACAGATGAATCCCCGGCAACGGGATAGCATAGTCAGCAGTCAGACCGACATGTACATGCGCGCTATGTCGTGTCAGTTCACGGAGGGATCTCGACGTCTGTTACACCACCAGCTTGTTTATTTCGGTTTGCCTTTCTCTCTGATGTCGTGACACGTCGAAATGAACCGATTACAAGGCATAGGTTGCTTTCGAGGGCTGAGGAGGCAATTTAGAAATCCAAACATCGCAGGGACTTTGAAGCAAAAGGAGTTCACATCCTACTCACACCCCTCTAGACAAGGCCTACTTCTTTTCTTCGTCTCTAGCACATCCGAGTCGCTGAGCTAGGCTATGTGCTGGTTCCAATATCAGAAACCTGGTAATCCACTTATGATATAATCCAGTCCCCCGGAGCATGCGGCAAGTCCATTTGCCCTGCCCTTCATCAACACATACAACACCCACACTCTTGAGACTTTCTGCGTGCCGTCCTCTCGCCCGAGCCAGCCCCAATCACGGTGATATCCGCATCCCATTCGTCGATCCAATGTTCTTCGCCCTGACCCCGTTCGTTAAAACGCAGTTCCCGATCGGCTCGACTGGGGACGACCGCAACCAGACCAGCGCAGGGGACGGCACGGTCTTCGTTTCCCGCCCTTGCATGACGAGGGTGTTTTCTGGTTCATTGGGGTTGAGGGGAGAGGAGGTCTCCTTGTCGTTGCCTTCTCTAGACGTCACCACCACCACCACCACCACTACCACACATCACCATCCCAGCTCTGGTGAGGTGGGGGAACTGCCTTTCTTCCTGCGTTGACCTTTTTTCAGCTGGCGGCCGGGGCCCAGTGGCTGTGGATAGTCCGCCTTCGCCGAGACGGGGTGAGCATGGCGGGCGGAGTGCGCAGGACTTCTACTGCCTTTACCTCTGCTTAGACCGAGATGAGACCTCTTCACCATTTTCCCAAGCTGGGCTTGTCACCGTCACTGCGGTCTGTCAACCGAAATCCACAGAGCCGATGACCAAGCCATGTAAGCATTACCAAAAATGCAACGTCGTAGCTTTGGGAAGGCGGATGGCGGGAGGATCATCATGGACACATTGAGCCATATCCGCAGGTGGCTGGCTGCTTCTTTACCCGCTGGCCATCGTCCTCAGCATGGCTCTCGCCCACACTTGACCCGTTGAGAAATTGCAAGTTGGTGGGTAGGATACCCATCGTCATCGGATTACACTGACACAACCTTGAGCCCTCCTCGTTTGGCGATCACCTTCCCCCCTTTCTCTCCCTTCTCCCAGGATAGCCTACACTACGAAGACCCTGATGGACCCTGTAGATCTTCTTGTTTTCCGCCACTTGAGGTGAGCATCCGTAGCCGCGATTTCGTTGACGTATATTGCAAAGTAGGAGCAAAGGCCTCGATCATTCTGAGCTTAGAGGTAGAGGAGCGTCAAGAACGGGCTTGCCAATAGCGACAAAGAAAGGGGTATTCAGTAGAAAATTTTCACATGAGAGGATTTCTTGCCTTGACCATAACGAATTGCATTAGTCCATACGCAGAAAAGTGACAACCCTCTCTAGAGGACTGCCAATGGTCGTTGTCTACATGACATTGTCATAGACACGATTGTGCCTCGATAATCCCACGCTTTAAACTAAAAACGAAACAAAGAAAAGGCGTCATCTTCGAAAGCGGAAAACACGCCTCGTTGATGTCCGTCCTTACCGGTGAGCTACCTGATCTTGTGAATGCCCCCTACAAATCATCTCATCTCTCTCTTCTTACCAGCACATTGCTCTTCCAAATAAACGCCATTCATGCAATGGGCCATCTCCTTGCCCGATGAGTCGCCTACTCAATAAGACGCTCTTCTGCACCATTTCCGCGTCCACACTTTCGTTTTGCACAGCTCCTCTGAGACCTGGCATCGGAAATGACATTGTGGGTCTCAAGCTCCGGCTTCCAGGCCCCGAGTCGACATGGAAATGCAGCTTCGGGCCTGGCTCGATCACCCCCTCCATTCTCCGCACTGGGGGTGACAGCCGATGGTTTGTCTTGGCTATCATGGGGAACTCCACAGGCCTTGGCCTGTGCCCTAGCTACCTGGGGTCTGGAGCTTGGCCGCAGATTCATGTTGCTTCTTGTGGCCTGGCAAAGACCGTGGTTGACGTAGAATTACGGTGATAAAGCAAGCAAACCGTTGCCCATGGTCCAGTCCTTCGAAACTCCTCTCCAGTCCAACGGAACAAAAAGGCGCAGAAAAAGCCGGCCTCTTGGACATCCGAAGGACTGGTGAAGCTCAAATGCTAGTCCTCTTTACACGACTCAGAACATGCCTCTGCCACTTGCCAATCTGACAAAACTGTAGGGCACATTCTGACCGACCAGTAGCCTCAGAGTCTCGACGGTGGTAAAGGCGGCCGTGTCAGCAACACCGTACGCCGAAAATCCCGCCTGCTGAGCAATCAGGCCGGGATCACCACCTTTTCTTGCACCTGCGGTGTCGGCGAGATCGAGGAAGACTTTCTTAAAGTTTGAGTTTCCTCGCACATTGGCGCCAAAGACACGCACCAGCATACCGACGAGGTTGCTCTTGTCTGCCCCGAGAGCCGAAACGAACAAGAAGGGAGCTGCATCATCGCTTACAGTTTGTGCCTTCTTGAGGCTCTCCAGACTGTTGAACGGCTCAATGACAGGTCCATCACGGGCCAGAGCTGGCGGTGTTCGAAAGCCAACGGTATATATCTTTGCCATACGGAGTGCTTTCAGAGCGTACATGACTGATGCGGCATCTTCTCCAGACGAAGCCAGTACGACAGCAGTTCGGCCGAAGTAGGCGGAAGGCGCCATATCTCTGGTCAGCGTGCTGATGATACCACGCCAACTAGCATTATCCAGGATCAATGATGTGTTCGGAGACAAGCCGGAGATGTGTGACCCCAAGTGACCGAAAGAGTCATGGTGCCCATGACGAGGGCTCGAGGGAATCGACGCTGGGGCAGAAGATGCCGAAGATGAAGAACCCGACTTGACTATGATTGTGTCCACAGTACCGATCAGGCGAGCTGCCTCAGTCAACTCCGCGCCCTTGCCGCCGTTGAGCGAAGCAAAGAACGGGCTGGCCTTGAGAAGGCTACTCCATGACACTGGTGGGCTGAGGTAGGCACCACCAAAGTTCTTTTGATTACACCAAGCCTCCATGCTTGAAAAGTTGTTTGGCAAGCGCTCTACAACGGCGAAGTAATGCGGCAGGCCCAGTTCATTGAAGCACTTCTCATAGAATGGTGCTTGCGGGGTTGAACTTCGGAAAGCCGGTGTTGTGATGCCATATATGCTCTTCTTGGGAAGCTGTCCAAGCAGTGCCAAAGCCGCGTTAATCTCCGACGCGCTCATTTGACCTGGAGCTGCGACTATCGGCAACAATGGATGAGTGATGGGGGTGAACACCTTGTTCAGAGTACGTGAGAACTGGCCGGTTTCTCCCATGTTAACTCCAGAGAATGGCGGGGAATCCGGATAATCTGCTCGCATTTTCGAGCGGAAGTACTCCAACTCAAAGTTTTCGTTGTGGTCGTTGATTATGGCAATCATCTTGATTATATCGGCGTACCTGCTTGATTCAACGTACACCTGCTCGGCTTGGGACGAGGGCCATTTGAAGGTACCAGAAAAGTCGTGGAACGCAGACATGATACGACTGCTCCCCTTCTGTTCCCAAAGCTTCTTTCGAATGGCTTCCGGAAGCCAGAGTTCCACGTCGATATACTCGACTCCCCATTGGATTGCTCGGTAAAGATATTCATAGTAAATGTCAGGGTTCTCCATGGGGAAGCGACCGTTTTCTCTCGTACACCTAGTGGTGAATATTATTGGGAGTTCTGTCCGCTGACGCAGGAGCATTAGCTGCTGTCCGACATAGCTAAGGCTCGGGATGGCTGAATATGTGCCGTCGCCAAGGGGCTCCTTGAGAAGATCAACACGAATTTCCACCGCGTCGGCGCCGACGGTGAGGATGTCGATATTTGGCAACGCAGCACTGACGTCTGGAAAGGTAGTAGAGATGAAGTACGTTCGTGGTTTCTGCATCAACGTTTCGTGGTGACAGATCTGACCCAGAGTGAAGGAGATGAATCTGGACAAGTCTCGACGAAAAAATGGTGCTTCTGTGTAGAGGAACTCGTAGTCGCACTGAGCTGAGAGGAAGACATCTGGTGGCATCCCAAGGTTGACACAGTGGGCGTTGATCGCCACAACCAGGTCCTTATTGCGGGAGGTAATGTCCTTTGCAGCGAGTTCTGCCGGAATGCCAACCACAAGCCCTTGATCAGCAACGCTGACCTCCTGAAATGCAGAGCGGATGACGCATGGCTTCCCCAGAACATCTGCGAAGACGGACACAATCTTGTCCTGGCCGGTGCCGTACAAGATGACAACGATCCTCGTGTCTCCTCTTTGAGGAGCACTCCCGA